TCAGCTCAATTATAACAGGCGTGTAATGGTATCTCACTGATGACCCGCACCCAACAAACGAGGCCTTATTGGCTCTCTGCCTAAGTTGCAAAGGAAAGGTCCAAAACACATCTTAGAAAAGAGTTTAATCAAATTTAAGTTGATCTTAATATCAACAGAGTTGGGTCTAACAAAAAAAAACCCTCATAGCATAGTGAACTAAGATTTGAATCTTCACTGAAAGAGATACTTATATTTAGTACCTAATAGGCTAATAATACCTGAACATAATTATTTTTGATAGAAAGATACCTATGCCTGGAAGAAAAAAAAGGTCCTAATTTGGCATTAAAACCTAGTGCCTGCTGTGATTTGCTATCCCTTGTAACTCCACCACATGTACTTATTCCTTCTGTGCTTATTAAGCCTGGATCTATGTTCACTTTATGCGCACCATTGTCAGGCAGAAGCCACCTCCCTTGATTCTTCCTCGCAGGTGCTCTTAGTGTACGCTGCATAAAGATCTATGAGAAATGGTAATGTTTGTGCATGCTCTATGAACACTGGCCACTACAATTTTATTTCTCTGTGATCCTGCTAGAACATGGTGTATCTTTACAACTAGTATCCATATATCAAAAAACACATTGCCAAATAGAGTATATCCCATGGCATCTTCTTCTTCGTCATTTGGGCTTTTTCTTGCTTTCTTCTTATAAGGGGTGTTTGGTAACATAGAAAAGTGTTTTTTAGCAAAACGAGACAGACTCCTCCACATATTTATTTTGTATACCGTAAAAGTACTTTTAAAATCATGATTTGGCTTCCATCCAAACATCGTTGTAGATCTTCCACCTTCACCATTTGATCCACCGGTTGAAGCTCTTAATTGAAAAAGTTGAGTGTGTCCCTCTAGATTTGATTTTTTTTCTTTGTTTGGTTTAATTAGAGGAAAGCAAAATGTGAAGACAAAGACGAAAGAACCCCCCAAGGGGTCAACAAAAATGTCAGAAAGAAAGATAGTTTGATGAGTAAATTTATAGCCAGTGGGTAAGTGGTTTAGTTTGGCGTTGAAATCTGAGGACCCACCTTGGTTTGTTGTCCCTTGTAACTCCACCACAAGAACTCCTTCCTTTCATTGAGCCGCATATATCCAATCTTAGCGCGCAGATATTATGTTTGTGCCTGGCAAAAAAAAAAAAAAAAAGTACTATGCGCAACATAATTTCTCTCCGTATTTGGTGGTATATTTAATCCCTAATATATTTTTTCCAGGTACATCTAATTTTTTGTTGGAATCCTTCTTTTCTTCAAATGAAATGAACAGAGTACTTTTTAGTACAATTTTACATTTAGCAATATATAATGCTTGATGTACTAAAAATAATTAGAATGCTAAAGACACTGAAAATATACAAAATATTTTAAGGTGCTATGTATTTGAAATACATTATAAAATATTTAAGATACCAAATGTTTCAAGAAAAATACTTCAGCTTGCTTAGACAACTTAACTCAAAAATAATTGCTTCTGTATAGAAGGCTTCGAAGTTTGAACGGATGTTTAATTCAAAACTAATTGTCTCTTAACTAAAAAATAAACGCCTGTTTTACTGTATGGAAGGCTCCGAAGCTTGAACCGACGTGCAAAAAGATCCGACAATTTATTTATTTATTTATTTAAAAAAAGCGCCCCGCCCCACCCCAAAAAAAGTCCGAGTTGACAAAAAAAATTAGGTAAGTTATTGAAATGCTCCTGTTATACTCAGGCAAAAAAAAAAGAAAGAAAGAAATACTCCTGTTATGTCTGTGCTTAGTATTTGACTTAATTATAATGTGTAGAGTTGGTCTTTATTCTAAATATAAGACTTGTTGTTATATTTATCAAATTTTTTTAAATCACCCATATTGATACTTATTTAACTATAATCGAGTAGAGAAGGATTGAGGATATTAATAATGATTATTGAAATTTTTTATTAAAAAAATATCATATTTATTATAATTAACAAGAAGGTGTTCAGATAAAAACCAAATCATGATTTTAAAAGTAATTTTATGTTGTAAGAAGTAAATATATGGAAGAGCTTGTCCTGATTTGTGAAAGTACTTTTAAAAACATTTTTGAGGTGTTACAAACATCTTCAAATTATATAATTTTTTTAATCTAATCAAATTAGATAAACAATTAAATTTTTTAAATATGAAAATCAGAAAATCAATTTACAGCCCATTTTTTCATGGCAAAAAAAAAAAATTTACTGCCCTTTTTCATTATCCAATGCAAAAATCAGTATGCCGCGTGTACACCACTCGGCAGTCCGTAATGGATGCGAACCGAATATTGTTGTTTTTAATTAAAGCTGATCCTCCACAGCAGAAAAACAGACTTGATAACTTGTCTGTTTAGCTTTAAAAAAAATCAAATATTACAAAATAAAGATGATATCTTCACAGTCATACTCACAGAAATTAAAAAAAAAAACTAAGACTTGATCAAAATTATAGTAAATAAAAGGTGCCCATCCCACGAAGAAGAGGATCGCAGGAGAGGAATTATTGGTAGAAGCAGCAGGAAAAGTATCCGTTGTTCCAGTCATGGAAGAACGTGAAGATGAACTGAATACTTGCATAAATAATATGAAAACACGAAAAACAGAAGCAAATATGACCGTTGGACCGTCGGACCGTCCGTGAGATGAGATGTAACCGTTAAGATCTCGGGCGTTCCGCAACAAACTTCCATTATATATCTTCCTCATCCTCTTCTCACTTTCCATATCCAAGCTATCATCTTAACCTCTTCTTCTCACTTGGCTCTCTGCAACTTCTAATCATCTGCTCTCATTGTCCGCTGAATTGACTTTGTTCGATCACTCTCTGCTTGATTCCATTTTACATTTTATTCTGCTCTTTCTCTCTGCAACTTCTAATTAATTAATTATATCTGTCTCACTTATATTTTGATTATTTTAGTTGTTATACTCTTGTGAATTTATCTGCATTTGAATCAAGAAAGCAATGGCGGAATCAAAAGACTCACACATAGTGGAAATCCCAGTGGACTTGGAGCATGAGCAGAAGAAGCTCCTCCCTGCGATTTCCAATATTGCCGAAGCAATGAAGACCACCCACTCACTGAGATCTCGGAAAGCCCAGGCCACCTCTTGCTCCTGAAACTGTGGCAGAGAGAGGAGGAAATCTTCGGGAGCAGAATTGCTCACAAAGAACTCCGAATGGACTCCATCAAGCGCGATCTCTTCCAACTCTCTTCCTTCTTCTTCATCTTCCATTTCCTCTTCTTCACACTCCTATTTACATCCTCCGTCAACGAGGACGGCGGATCTTGCGGGAAATGGTGGATACCGTCGGTGATATCCGCGGCGACGTCGGCGGTGTTTATAATTTTGGTTCAGGTGAAGGTGAACGCGTACTGGAGAAAGTGGAGGGAGGTGAAGAAAGAGAGGGAGGCGAGTCGAGGCGTGACGAGATGCGTTCAGGAGCTTAGGATGAAGGGGGCGAGCTTCGATCTGTCGAAAGAGCCGAATCAAAATGGCGGAAAGAAGATGAAGAGCTCGAGCGTGGAGATCAAGTGGAAGCCATGGAGTTGGTGTTGTAAGAATTCACTAACCATTTGTCTTGTTTGCTTTTCAGGGCTCGCCGCCCCTGCTTCCAAGTTTGTTCTCTGTGGCTTCTGATTCTGCTCCTGAAACTTTTCCATGCCGATCAACACTGAACAATGGTAATCTTCAAACTTGTGTGTCATTGCTTAATTTTGCAATGATAAGCCTAAATTAAGAAAGACTTTAAGCTATCTGAGTTGATTTAACTCGAATCCGGTCCAACATGAATAGGGATGAAGCAATTTGGGTCCGATTAACCAATTCTTACCCTTTTGGAGTCGCTGCAACGAGCGAAACACTGACGAACAAGATGATGGAAGGCATCAAATTTCAGTGCATTAATGCACGGATCAAATGTTGAAGGGATGCGGCGGAGCCATATGATTCTGAGCAGCAACCATCAAGCATTAAAGGACATGGCTGAATCATGCGAATGCTACGCAAGAAGAGTGACAAGACAGAGATTACTTTTTTGGCCTGAATGAGAAAACAGATAAAGAGATCACTTTCAGTATTTTCAAAAATACTATAATCCAAATCCGTGGCTGAATCTAAGTTCGGATTGCCAATATGATGAAAAGCATATCACACTTCTTGTGTGTGTGGAGTTTTTGAAGGCGCCATTGTAGCTCACCATGGAAATATTATGAAAAAAGAAGCTAAGGACTCCTTTCTCGTGTACCCAATTTCAGCAAATAATAAGATAAAGATGTCAAGTTGAAGCATTTTAAGCCTTCATATTATCGTTGTTGCTGAATTTTTTAGTCTCTTTGGATATTGGACACCAAAACATGGTAAAATTGTATTAATTTAATATTATTTGAGGCTTTGTCTAAAAACAATGTCAAGCTGGGCCCTTGGCACCCTTGAAACGGAAATAAAATTAATATCTCGAGTGTTGAAGATCAGATGATATCTGGCGCTCTGAAAAAAGAAATAAAATTAATATTCTCAAGTTCCAACATAAAAATTTAAATTTGATTTATTTAATGAGTTGGCAAAAAGTGGAAATATCAAGTGTTGGAACACAAACTTAAAAATTGCTCAGGAAATAAAAAACAAGAAGAAGAGGAAGAAACTTAAAAGTGATTGTATGCCTGTAAATAACACTTTCATGGGCTCAAATAAGTTTTTATTCCCTGACTAGATTTGATTCGTTATTAAATATTAATCTCGAGCTCTATAAATAAAAACAGGCTGAACAAATTCGTCTGAAAAATTGAAAAATTAAAAATCGGTTTGGGTCAAATCGTATAATCAGACAAAATTATATCAATCATGGCATTCAAAAAGAACCGAATCGAGGCAATTATTACTACTATTATTTTATCAAGTACTGTTATGTTGGGATAAATTTAGGATTCTAAAACGGTTCGATTTTTTTTTAATTAAAAATAGTTGAATTGAAATTTTACTACGTTTGGTTTGTCATTAACTTGGGAATTCAACTTTGATCATCAAACTCTCAATCTCGTATCGACCCCAAAAAGGGTCAAAAAGCAAAGGCTGACATAATTTACTATTGTTGCTCGCCGTGCGAGTTAAATAACACTCGAACTGTAAGACAAAAACAGCAACAACAAAACCAAAACAAAACAAAACAAAAAAAAGCTAAATATGCGCCTTCGGTGAAGACTAGGCACTTTCAAAGCCAAAAATTCGAAAAACACCTGCAAACAAAATGCAGAAAAGTTAGCCAGCCTTCTTGTGGATCCTCAGTTTCTAATGGAGCCTTTTACACAGAATAAGCATACCTTCATCAGCCTGGTACTTGTTTTTGTCATCACCAGCATATGCAAGTAAATTGTATTTGGGATTCCACTCCACGCTGTTCATGGCAGCCCTACATGGAATCTGATGCACCGTTCGTCCCGTGTGCACATTCGACTGTTTAAAAGGATTAACAGTTTAACCACCAAGTTTGGTGTGCGTGTTCAAAGAATGGTAGGCTGGTCTAGCCTTTGAATAGCTCTAGTCAGGTACACTTACTATATCAATGAACAAGTCTTCACTAGCAGATGCAATATAATCACCGGTATAATTGAAACTAATTGTCCTCACAGGCCATCTGAGAAACACAAACAGAAAATAATTTCAGATTTGTTGTCACAAGCTATATATAGTAATTATTATTATTATTATTTGAAAAAACACAAGCTGAATCAAAAAATGAACATGAAAATCCAGGGGAACTCACTCAAGCTTTGTAAAGGTACGCACACAGAGCATCTCAGAGATATCCCACAGGCTGACTAGGGAATCAGCACTTCCAACGGCAAAATATCTGCCTCAGTAACAGGAGGTTACTATTTGAGTATAGCTTTTCATGTTTGCTAGTTTATATGAATGATTTACATCCTATTGAAGTAAAAGAAGAAAGAAACCTAAAATACAACACAGATTAGTTTTAAGAATCTGCTATGAAATTATGCATTCGATTCTTACCTTGACAATCTAAATACAATTAACAACAACACAGATAGAAGAAGCGTACCTTCCCACTGGATCAATAGCAATGCAATAACAACCAGCAGTATGTGCCATGAGGGTATCCAGGGGCCGCAGAGATGGGTAAGCCAATACTTCGACAGTCCCTAAATTAGGGAACAACCCATGGAAAATAAGATTCAATCTTGGCAGTACAAAAGACCAAGAATCAATTCAATGAATGATCTCACCATTTCCTGTTGTTAGAAAGAACATCTCTCCTGTCATGTTCCAGGCAATCTCATTCACCTAGAAAGTTGGAGGGAATGATCAGGATTTATTTAGTATATTGGAGCAAGTAGTTGGAGTTGCGCAACATATATGCCAAGGGTAGATAAGTTAAAGTCAATTCTGTTCCAAAATGCTTATCAATCACACATCTAACATTTGAGTAATGTATACTGGGAAAAAAGGGAATATTGTGCGCTTATCGTATTATCTAATCATAGATGGGTACAATTATGAACTCAGAGAAATTTAGGCTTCAGTATCTATGGTGGACCACTTTAAAGGATATGAAAATAAAGAGGAGCTGAATCCCACAACAGAAAACAAGACCTAGAAAACACAGGCGGTGAAGAAAGTAAGTGCAAGTGCTGAGGAAGCTGGATCAAGATTACAATAGCAACACTCAAAAGAACTTGATCGATTGAAAGGCTACATGCTTAATCTTAGATTTCCTCTTTTTCCCCTATTAGCAAACCATGTTCTGTTCCAAAATCCTTGAAACTTTAATTGGTTTGGTGGTAAAACCTCAACATTTCTTTTAACAAATGCATCAGGTCTCAAGGGATGGAGGATGCAAATTGACAGAGCATTTTGATCCCATAATAAAATAAATGTAATTTGCACTATAACTAACAAGCCCATTATGAGGACAGTAATTTGAGCTCTGATTCCAGAATATCACGGGTGGTTTTAAGGCCAAGAGAATCAAAGTAATTAAGTAGCTAAAATAATTTCGTCAATTATATGAGTACGGACCAATGCTCATTCACAGTACGTGTGAAACTAGAAGAAATTTATATAAAGACAAATTTATGAAAATTTCCAAAGTTCAGTTTTAATAACTCCCTTTAACTTGAAAGATAAAATGTCAGAAATAGAACAAACAACAAAAAACAAACCTATAAAGTAGACAATACCTCATAACTGAACTTGCGTCTATGAATTGGTTTAAACTTCCGTACGTCCAGTATTGTCAACTCATCATCCTATGAATCACAACAACAAAGTAGACTTAGAGTGTGTTTGGAAATCTATTAATCTTTTCCAAAATGTGGTGTTGGCTAAAGTAATGTCAGAGTAACTTTGTCTCAAAAATTGTAAAATCCCATTTGCAATGAGAAACCAAGCAAGCTATTACATACTTAAGGGAAGCAAGAGAGTTATAAGAAAAAGTCTAGCCAGTAACTACCAAAGCTCAATGGTTTCAGAGCAGGAAGCAATTAAAAGATGCCCAAGATATAGCCACCACTGAAATGTCCACTCACAGTATCACCGTTTCAGAGCTTTCAGTGAATGAAAGGAGTTGAACAACATACCCTATTACCTACAGCTACGTGAGTCCCATCAGGTTTGTAGGTGATGTTAATATTCTCCCCAGTAAGTTCTGCCTGTTGCGAGCACTTTCCACCTGCAGAAGCCAAATATGACAAAGCATTTTGTCAAATCGTTCTTGGCACCATACATTCGAAACTAACTCAAAGGAGGAAAGTCGAAAATTTTTCTAACTATTACAAAGATATTTTTTATCAACAAAAAACATTGATCTGATCTTTCCATTAAAATGTTTACAAATGATAAAACCATTTGTCTGCGGATTTCAATATTTACATAAGGTTAATTGTCAGGAAGATCTGAAGATAATTCAAAGTATTAAGATAGTATAACTTCAATTTGTACTATGACAAATCAGAATAAAACTGAATAATCACTTACTACGAGCATCCCACAAACGAACAGTCTTGTCTCCAGATGCAGTTGCAATCAGATCAGCATGTTTGGGATCCCAACATAGCTGATCCACACTATCAGTGTGACCCTTCAATTCAATGTCTTTGACCTTACCCTAAAATAAAACCCAACCCCAAAAAAGAAAGAGAAATAAACAAATTTTCAATCACATTAAAAGAATGAGAAAGTAAGAATTATCTGCACTAACATTAATAGTGACAACCAACAATATAAGAAAACCCCAGACAAAAAGGTGATGAGAAAACAAAGTTAAAGTTAAAACATAGATTTGGTCACCCAAACCATGTACTTGAGCATTTATTTAAGAAAAAATATAATTCTGGACTAATCGGCGCTGACTATATGAATCTTTGAGTAAATGAACCAAAATTCTCAATATGCATTCTGATTCAAATCCTTCCGAAACCAACAAAAGAAGTTGTCTCAGAACACTTTTCAAAACGAACAAAAGTTAACACATTCCTTAGTAACCTTAAAACAGAATCTGTCCATTTTTGAGTCAGAATGTAACTTCATCCTCTCTCCTGTCTATTGACATCATCTGGAAATTCTCTATGCTTATAGCTTTTGCCTCTCTGCCTTTTTCAATGACTTATCCATTACAGCAAACAATTTCCCTAGCGTCCAAAGTCCAAAACTTCATGGATTTAACTTCCAGTGTAATCAGCCCTTCCCATGATAATCTGTTATCTGTCACGATAGTAATTTCCACCCTTGCTCATACGGCCAGGCTTCCGTCATTCTTTACCAAATGCATTGATTTGATAGCTTATCTCCAGAAACCATTTTGTATATTGCCACCACAATGGTTCAATTTAAAGTGATTTGGTGGTTTAGACAGTGAATTTATAGTATAGCTAGAAGAAGTAGAAAGAGAGAGGAAAAAGAGAAAATGAGTGCCAATGCTATTAATACCAAGTCAGGATGCTAAATAGAACGTACCCTGCACACAACTACTAGACAAGGTGAAAAGAAAGATCGTCCCTAACTATGTTCTGAGCAATGCAAAGTCTTAAAAAATTAAAGGAAAGAACAAGAAGTCCAAAGGGGAGGCATTTTACATGTCCGTGTGGCTCAATATACCATACTCGAGCAGTTTGGTCCACAGAACCAGAAGCAAGCTTTGTGCCAGTGCAATTCCAGGCCACTGAGTGCACCTTTCAGAAAAGGGAGCAAAAATACTCTCTTAGAATTGAAACGTAAACAGACATAGAAAGCTACTTTCGTAGAAATTCAACGATATGAAGCAGAAAATATTACGCCTGTGGGGTTCGGACAGGTTTACAATTACCATCAGAAGAGCGAAGGAAATACCTTCTTTTTGTGGCCTGAGTACTCTCTGCTATGTAGATTCTTAAATGGGAGCTTTTCTTCCATCGCCAAACCAACGAATCTGGAACACCTTTAGGCTTAACAGGAAAATTCCGAAAAATTGAAATGGTTACAGTGCAGCAGAGTAGGGATTGCAGATGCCGTTATTTTCCAGCCGGAACAAAAAGCATTATTTCGTAAAGTATTTCAGAAGTTTGGGTCTAAACCAAATTAGACAAAAATTGACCTTGCCCAAAACTTGCTATAAAATATTCAAGTTGTCCAGTTTGATCCTTTCTTATTTTTGATAAAATTATAAAATAGTTTATGAAATCATTTTGCTCGTAAAACTATTTTATTTTGAAAAAAAGATTATAATTATATAAGACAGTATTGATAATCATCGACATATCAAATGATCGATATAAAAGCTCATAAAAGCCACACTAAAGTGTTATGCAAATTGGGCTTCTACAAAATGCATAAAAAGTCAAATAAAAGATTTTTGTTATGCCACTTTGTTGTGGCTCCAGTACGGAGTTGGAGTATCATCACAGTAAAACTGGAAGATTCTCACCTATTGAGCTAAAAAAAAAAAAAAGACTTGCTTGTCATATTCTCGTGTCTGTAGGGACAGACCTCAGTAGATCAAGTGTTAGTGCCTTGCTTTTAAATCGTGGATGAACCCAACTCTTTTTCTAAAATTTTGTATAAAAAAAAAGCTGAGATTTTGAGTTGGTTGTGAGGACTGAAAATTGCATGAGCGCTCTAAGAATTTTGGTAATTGGCCTCAAGGAACTATGAGGACTGCTTCATGAAGCTATCTGGGGCGGGGGAGTCCACAGACTTTTACTGAAAAAAATTAGCATAAACCTGTTACTGTGTTATTGATATGTTGTGAGTCATCTTGTTTGTTAGGGGTTTTTTTGTTACCCTTCATTTAAGAAAAGTAACCCACACGTCCATCATAGGTCCTAATTACAACTTCATCTTTAAGAAAGACTTGAAAAAACAGTGTTATTCGGTAAAAAAAAAAAGTGGGTCAAAAAGTTGTAACTATTAGATACGCAAATTTATATAACCTTCTTTTTCCTCTTGTTATTTTGGAACTGATATTACCGTTTCAACCAAAAAAAAAAAAAAAAGAATTGGCGGACAAGGAGATAGTTAATTCACTTTAATCAAAATTTCAAACCTTATACATGAGAAAAATTATCACTACTATTGTATTTAATATAAAACACAGTTGCCTTACTCACAAATTGATATATAATCTAACGATATATATAACTATTTTAGAAAGATCATATAACATATACTATGATTTAGTAATTTTATTAATCTTTTCAAATTAGTCAATCAAGTCTTATATTAAAAATTGGGTGGTAGTATCATTTGAGACTAATAAGAGGATAATCTCACTTTGAATTGGATAATGATTGAATCTACATTAAATAATACTACTCATTAATATATGACCTAATTAATTAATTTGAGTAAATTAAAAATGTTAGTTAAATTAGTTAATACGATATTTATTTCTAAAAGACCTAAACATCTCTCTTAATTTCTCTTTTTTCTTCTACTTAATTATTGTTACGAGGAAAACAATATGATTAATTTGAAAAAAATGATAAACATATGAAATAAGTATATAAGACCAATATTAAATTTCTAATTAAGTTTAATATTTAAGATAAAAGATAAGATGAGTATAACAAAATAGTCATTTTATTCCAAATAAAAAAAGGTCATCACAGTTAAAAAGATGTCCAACCCCAACATGATTCAGCCTTACTTTGATTTGATGAAACTGTCCACACAAGACGAACGACGAATTAAGAATCTGTAAACATCAAAGTTTCTCCAGCCGCAATTTCAGCCTACACTTCCCTCAAGTAAACGAATCACTTGCCATATGACGTAAAACATTTTTATATGGCAAAATTATTCTCTCTTTTAACCATCTGCATGACATTTTTAGGGTCTCTCGAGTCTCCAACAATCCTATATACGATCTAACTGAACAAAGATGAAGAGAAGAGTAATATTACTCATGTGTTCTTTTCTGTTTTCCTCTTCATTTGATGATTGATGGCACAATCATGGAGAAAATTCACGTCCAAGTTCAAGGAGCGCCATCAATGGAAGGCGCAATTACAGTGTAGAACAGAAAATTGTAAAAGATAGTGAATAAAACGAGAACAACTGCGGTATAACCCAGAAACGAGTCTGATATCTCGAACTCCTTCTCTCTCGTATTGACGCTACTCTTCGCTTTTTCTGCTTCTTCGAATTTCACATCTGAGGCTGCATAATATGATAAAAAACAATTACAAATTAAAATTTCAATTTCGGATTCCCAAAACTGTTAGTTGCGAATCGAACTACAAGAAAGGTGAAGCCAGTTCAGAGGTTAATCTACGACGAAGTTGTGTCGGAGAGAAAGAGAGTACCTCTGAGTTTCGGGGAAGAGACTTGCTTAGTGGAGAGAGACTGAAGCTGCTGGTCAAGCTTCTGGAGGGCTTCTCTGGCCTTATCTTTGTCAATCTCATATTCTTGTGGCTCTGAATCTTCCTTTTCCTTCGTCATCGCCTGAACTCGGCAACAAGAAGACGAAGAAGAAGGAGAAGTAGGATTTCGCTTTAGAAGCTTCAATTCCTTCAAATCCAATGGTCTGATCTTCTGAAATAGCAAGAGGGGTGGATGCTTATGGAAACTTACAAAGTTCATCGACGTCATTTCAGCCTCCCAAGAAATGGAAACCCGCTGAACTAAGGATAACGCTCCGTCTTCTTGAGTCTGGTACCTGGCAAGGGAGGGCAATTTTGTTAAAATATGAAACATAGGGGGGATATTTTGGTCATTTCGTTGGAATGATATTTGTACTGTTATCAAGCAGTACACCGGAGAAGAAAATGAACGTATCAATGTTTTAGTGGGATATGTTTATCAATTTTTTTGAAAATTGATCTTATTAATATTTTATTCAATAATAATTAAATACAAAAAAAATTGAAAAAAATGTTCAGGATAATTTTAAAAAATATATCATATTAACTCTTTTAACTAAAATCTTTAATCTTTTTAAATTAGTTAATTAAATTTTACATTAAGTATCAGAAGTATTATATAAACAAAAATAGCAAAATATTTAAAAAATTGATAAAAAATTATATCAAATGTTTAATAAGTTACTATGTTCGGTCATTAATATAAAATTAGTTGATTAATTTAATATATTAAAAAAATTAGTTAAATTAATTATTTGTAATAATAAATATTTTTTAAAATATCTTTGCTAATCATATCTATTAAAATTATTATTTAATAAAATATTTAATAAATAGTATGTAACTACTATGAAAATTATCTTTAAAAAAATATAAAAAATGAAATAAACTAGAATGTTATATTTAAAATTAATTATTGATAGTAGAATTGGAAGCAGCACCTCTTTCATCATTAATGCACGAAACTCACCAACTTTTACAGTAAAAACATATAAAACACATTGAAGTGAGAAAAAAACAAAGTGAAATTTTTTATTCTTATAAATAAAATTGATAAACTCGAGACATAATCAGGCGTTGCCATGTGTCACGATGATTAGCCTTGTAAAGATCGCAATCGCATTGGGTTATTGTTTGGATATTTACGTTAGCAGTAATTAAAAAAAAAAAAAAAAAAGAGGAAGACCCATACACACACAACTGGTGACAAAAATCATGAAAATTAAAAAAGCAGAGGAGCGCGTGTGCGACTGGGAGAAGCTGAGATGAAGAAGTCAGCAGTAGAGAAGAAGAGAGTGCGACGGTCTTCAGCAGCCACCCAGAATGGAGGCAGAGATCCCACCTCCGACACTCCTCCTAGGGTTATTCCTCTTTCTCCCTTTGATCTGCGAATTTCTTCAGAAAATGCTATCCCAATCCAAATGATAAATGTTTTACGGAGTTGCAACTTAATCTTCACTAGTTTTACTGCTGGAAGTTTCACTGTAGTGGACTTCTCATCCTATGGCACGCAATATAGGTCTTCCATTTTGGTGATCTTATCAATTTAGGAGTCGAGTGTGTAATGTAAGACATAAGAATTTATGTCTGCATATCTGATGAAAAATGTTTACTAGTATTGCTTCGCTTCTTTATTTTTGGCCGAGGGTAAATTGTTTTCTACTACTTTTTGGTTGATGAGGAATGGTGGGGTGGCAAGGGTAACTTTAGTCAAAAGTTTCTTGGCGAATTATTTTTACCCTGGTGTCTTCGGATTCTGAATTTCAGGAATATATCAATTGACCTGATTGTAAATTTTTAAGGCCAGTTTGTTGCCCAGAATCAGCACAGTGGTACCGGTACCACGGGATTAAAGCATATGATATCAAGGGAGAACCTTGAAGATAAACTATAAGAAATGAAAACTTTGCTAGTACATTTTATCGTTTCAGACCCATTATTTACGTGCCACTTTATTTTTCAAGTTACATTTGTGTAATAAGGCTATCTTGTTCTGTTACTTCTACAAAAAAAGAAATGAAAAACCAGGGCCTAGTGAAAACTGATAGCTTATGGTGGAACTATGGAAGATTTTTAAGTATGGGTTTCATTTACTTGTTAGATGGCCGCAGCCGAGAACTTTAGTTAGGTAAAAGTCCATTATATATTTTTTGGTAGAGGTAGATAGATCTAGGTTTCATTTCAATCCCTGTGTTTTTGATATTTTGAAATTTTACTCCTGCTTTGTGGACCAATTTGCTGAGCTGACGATGGCAGCACAAGTAAATTTGACGCTCTTATTATATGATGATTCTGACATTGTTTTGTTTTCAGAAACAAACTGCCAAGAAAGATGTGTTTCAGTTGTTTGCTGAGAAGGTGAGAGACCATAAGGATTTGGTCTCCAGATGGGCTGTTCTACAGGAGACACGTGTTGAATATTTCAGAGGGAAGGATTTTGTGAGCTTTATGAAAAATCATCCGGAGTTCAAAGATATCCTAGAATCAGATAGGAATCTGGAAACAGAAGACATTGCTGAGATTCTACTAAGTAAAAATCTCTTGGTACGATGTGATCGCGTGGTGAAGACTGTTCGCCCTGGGAAGAAAAAGTTGTCAACTTGGCCTGCACATCTAGAAATCTTCCATGTAAGCGTTTTATTTTTATTACTTTTGCTAATTCGGAGAATGGAGACCTGATGATCAAAGCAAACATAGGCTTGCCTTTCTCTTTCTTTTTCTGTGCCTGGGTAGAGACTCGGGCATTTAATAATTAATACAACAAAAACAAAAAGAAGGGAAGCCTTATCCCACTAGGTGATGGATCACACTTTGCCAATTTGTCCTCATCAACAACTGACCTTTTAGATATACCGATCACAAAAATAGCCCATTCGATAACTTCATTGAGTGACTTTTAATAAGTCTTTATCTCTCTTCATTGTACTCAAAATCATCTGTTCAACCCTCCTCACCGGTACTTCCTTCAGTCTTCTTTGTACAAGTCCAAACCCCCTTAAACAATTTTCTACCAGCTTGAAGGTCTTTTAATCTTAAGGAAAAAAGGGGAAATTCCACTCTTTGAACCTTGTATGAGATACCTATGTGTATTTGAAGCCATCCACAGATTGAAAATGTATATACTTTTTTAAGGTAAAGACTGAAAATGTAAATTTTGTGCTGATACAATTAGCATGTCAGGATGAATTTTTCTGCAACTTACTTTTCTTTATGCTTTACTGTTGGTTAAGAACGTGTTTTTGATTTGATGTTTGGATCTAACAATATTTGACTTTGGTAGGAACAAGTATTCTCTGGCAATGATGCTTTTTTTGCGTGGACATTTGTTAAACGTCGGCCACTTTGGCAGACACTCCTCTCTTTTTGCTGGCCTGTGTTGACATTGGCAATTTGCCTATTTCCCGTGTATCCCCATCGCTGCAAACTAATAATACTTTACTCATGCGCTGGAATCCTTCTGCTTATTCTCTCCTTGCTTTCGGGTAAGTTTTGTATTTTTCTTCCTTCTTTTTTCAATCTTATTCTTCTAATAACTTTTTGAGACTTGTATTGCCAACTTTCATTATCAAAAGGACAATTTACTATGTTGCAGCATCACACTGTGGACAAGCACTCACTTGTTCTGTGGTTGACACATACGCATTGTCCCTTTTCTTTTTGAGTTTGCTATTCAAACAATTCTGTTCCCATTTGGGGTCATGCTGTCTCTTTGTAGTTGCTGCCTTTTGAGAACCATCATTACCCTTTCTGGAAGGGTTGGTGGTGGTGAGGTGCGAGTTTTTTATGCTTGTGTGCACACTTGTATATCAACTTCCATTTGGTCGTTGCAATGGTTTTGTAACTGGCATCCTAGCTTAAACTTATTCATTAGAAGGATACCCCCAATCACGGGATGACATGATTTTGTATTGATGGACCGAGCAGAAAACATGCTGCTGTTTTGATACTTTTTGCTGACATGTCATCTTTCAGGCTTGCTTTTTACTTAAACCTTTCCCTTTTAAAACTTTCTTTGATGAATTTGAGGATGTACTGTAATATTCTAGTTAAATGCGCATGGAATCAGAAAAGCTTTCGACTCAGTTTAATCATTTACATGCTTCTTGCACCTTAAGCTTCCCGGTTAGAACATAGACAACGAATGTGAAGTTTACTAATTATGCTCCATTCCGCTTCAGTAGCTTCTTAGGACTCACAAACAGTTATTTCAACCCTGCAGTAAGAGCTACAATATTTGGTGCTTTATATATCATTCTTGGAAAGCGGGTTTGGTTCTTCCCAAACATCCTTGCTGAGGAAGCAACACTGGCAGAGTTATTCAGATTTTGGCCCAAGAAAGATGAGGAGGAGCGACCAACGTGGACAAAAAGGCTTTTTTATGCTATAGTAGCTGTGCTGGTCATATTCTTGCTGAGGCACCATGCCCCTGACGAAGCAGCCAGAGCAAGGTGAGTCCCATCTTTGTGTGTAATGGTTGAATTAGATCCTTTCACTCTGTGTGCTCTGTGGAATTCTCTGTTTCATATTGGGCTGTCTCTGTTATCTGAAGTTGATATTTTCTATCTGCAGGTACCAGAAGAGAGTATCAAACATCATTGACGACGTTCTTGATTGGTCTCCAAGTTTAGCCTTGTCTGGGATGATGGAGAAGCAACAAAATGTGGTTAATGCCACGGGGTCTAATGACAGTTCACAAACGAGCAACACAAGTCCAGAACAAGCAAGTTCACCTGAGGATGGTGGTGCAAAAACTTTCTCAGAACAGTACGACGCTGAAGAAGTTATGGGAAACACAGAGGATGCAGGTGAAGATAAACAGAATGACTAGACGGTGATTATATGTCTATACTTTTTTGGGGCCATAATTATATATCTAAACTTAAATGTCTAGCAACTATATCGGAATTTTGTTGATGTATTTTGAGTGCAAAACCATGTATCAAATAATAACAGTAAAAGCAGCTTGAGAATAGTTTTTCTTCCAACGGACTCTGCATCTCAATGCGGTTTAAGTCTGATTTTCACGTTATATTGCTTTGTTTAAGATCAGATTAAGGCTCGTTCTCACTTGTCAAAATCAAATCTCAGTGCGTGATTCTAAAATTTTAGGTGAATTGTACTTGAACCCTGAAAAGGAAAATCTCAAGTTCGCCATCCTTTGAGTAATTCGAAGTTCAGTTGGCTTGCGGTGGGCGAAACTTTCTCCTCCTTGTTTGGAAAAATTGATGTGTATGGCAATAGGTTGCAGATTTTAAATAATGCATTAGTTATATCTTCTCAAGAGCGAAGCCGATGGCAAGTAATGGATACCTTTGGAGGGATGAGTTCGTATGTTAAAACAACTAGACATGAAAATTTTGCTCTCTGCTTGAAATTTTTGAGTTTAACGGTTTGAAAAATGGGGCGAAAGTTTCCTCCCCAAGTTATTTTCTGGTTGGCCAGGAAAGAAAAAAGGAAATATTTCCCCAGTAGCAGAACCATTGAAGTCGATATTTGTCAAGAGAATCTTTCGAAGGTTCAGTTCCCGTGAATATTTTTACAATCAACTTTGCGGGTCGGGGTTTGTCGTTCGATCGGATTATCCCGTAAAACCAAATCGCAAGTGCTGTAAATGTAAAGCGCCAAACTTTAATTTTATTTTTTCCGAATGATTATTTATTGACAACCTCATATTCCTCCCCAAACAACCCCAAGTCTCAAGAAGCAGGGTCCCAGCTCTCGATCAAATCCTCCACACCATCACCAGGAACATTTTGAGTACATATGCTGTTTACGGACCAGAATCAAGTTAATGGGAAAAAACTGAGTTGATTCGGCAGGTGAGATACTGATGAACACACATTCATCCTAAAATACTAAAAAGTGAAATTGACATTTATGGTAATCCTCTTACATGTACATTCATAAATCATAATTAACCTAACCTACGCCTAACCTACAGAGATTTTGTAAACTAAGTTTACCCAATATTATGAAGTCATAAAACAAGCAAGCCAGTGAGTCCCAAGAAGCCTTCCATTCAGGTCGACGCATATTACTGATGAAGAAGAAATATGGGAACTTAAACAGGTGTGGACTTGGGGGGGAGCGAGCGAGAGATACTCTAACAGAATATCAGTGGGAGAACTAAAACCCACAAAATCTTACTGAACTCGTACTATCATTCTATTGAGTCAAGTAGCATTAACCACCCGGTGAGTTACACAAATTAGGCCCATCATCAAACCAGAGGAGGTACATGAATAGTTTCTAAGTTTCCATGTCTTGTAACCAGGCCATGCATCTCAGCTTGAGTTCACTAACGACTATCTCTGTACAAAAAAACAAGAATGAGAAGACAACGTAGGATTGATTGGCTTCAAAAGAAGTCACAGCCTAATCATCATTCTTCTCCCCACATCATATCATCCACATCACAAACACAATAATAAAGCCAAGAATGATTTGCCGCTTGGCATGTAACTTGCCAAGGATGTTAAAAGATAACCAAGGTACTGACTAGCTATTTCACTTGGATACAAACCCTACCTCGGCATCTATGCCCTCAAGCACCAGGGTTTCTACTGAATTGCAAGACGCCTCTGTGAAGTGTGTTCAGAAGAGATACTTCCCCGTTGTTGTCCTGAACAGTCCCCTTCCTCGACTCTTTCACCTGAGTGCAAATGATAAGTGGAAGATTGCAAGCCACTATGATTACGATAAGGGCCATTATTGTTCGAGTAGTTGTGCGCATCATATTGGTCAGGAAGTTTATATCCTCTGGCCTCTTGTTGCACATTTGGAGAGTTCCATGTTTCAGCAGACTCACAGGGTAAAGGTTCAGAACCAGATGAACTAACTGATTGTGAAGATACCACTGGACCAGATCCCACATCCTTGTCTTTGCCAGAGTGGTTTGAACCATCAGTGGCATCATTTTTCTTTGCAAAGCGACCTCCAGTACCCCTTGCCCTCCTCATTGCATGCTGATGCCGAGATTCATGAAGGTATGGCTGTGCAGGACAGATGTTAGCAAAGCCCAGAAAAGTATTCCACATTGGCATGCATAGAAGATTATGCATAATAGTATACTTACTACAACCAAAAACATCATGAATCATTAATTAATCATTAAATACTAAAATGGAAATATCCCTCCAGTCTTAAATATAAGAACAAGTTGAAGGGTTTATTGTAGTCCTAAATACAGGACATCAATCTTCTCTGTCTGGCAACATCTGCAAGCTACTTTATAAACTAGCACCTCTTAACGGGCAAAGTAGATTTGCCTCCTCCAATGGCAAGGTAGGACGTCACAAGAGTAAAAGATATTCAAGCCAGAGTTTCCTTAAAAGGTTCAGGGGGAACCAATTTCTATATTCTCTTCAAAAACCGTGGAGGTTTTTTCAATAGACAAGTTATAGTTATACAGGAAAAAAGGGATAGTGCAGTATAGAATAAAAGGAAAGAGCTACGCTTGAAACACAGAAGATTGACCATGCAAAAGAGCAATATTGTTCTGCTGCAGATCCAACATAGATACCATTCAAAGAGACCATTAGACAAACCTTAATGAAAGTTAAAAATGCTTCTGTTGTAAGACCGAAAATGTCATTGTAATATACACCAATTTTTACTCAAAACAAAAGAATCAAGGTGTCATTCAACGTTTTAGGACAGTCTTGATTCTAAAACTTTCTAAGATCCCGACATCAGCAAGTTTCCTATTTGTTGGTGCAAACAAGGTCTCCCCGCTGAACAGGAAATGAGCTACCTAGACGCCTATGAGGAAACTGCTTTGAATAAATCAAGTACGCATACTCACAGAGGCCAGGGACCGCAGACAAAATTCAAAAATAAAAACTCGCAAGATAAATTTTTTCATTCTTCTCCTATCAAGCGCCTACAAGCATCTTAAAGAGCATGATAGATTTTAAATTGATACCAAACCTTATCCATAAGAGTTGGGATTTGTTTATGTCGCCATGAAAATATATAGATCAGCAGAAAAGAAATAGGTTAACCATAGGAGTAACATGCACCCCATGGAAACAAAAATATCAAACACAGATTTGATAAAATATCACTCTTGTCAGATTAAATAAAGCAACACTCAGTTACGGGAGAAAAGAGTAGCACATAAGCATAGTCACACAATCTTCACGTGTGCATAAGCATTTTTACCTTTCTAGCTTTTATTAGCTTCTTTTCCAGCTCTGCCTTTGCTCGAGCCTGTCTGCGCCTAAGAATTGCTGGGTATTGCTTCGCATTTACATAAACAGGTTCTTGTGCCATCTCAAGGGGCAAAGGCATTCTGGCCTGTGGCATTCCCATAAAAGGAGGATATCCCTGATGTAAAAAAATTAGTTATTGTTCTCTTTTATAAACAGCAGAGTTAGACATATATGATTATGGCATATGACGAGCCTTCCATCAGGATTATGCAAAAGCTGCATTTCTGATTAGATTGGTTTATACAAAACAACAGCCCGTAAGAGTGTGATGACTTTCGTGAGCAGTAATCATGTATAAACAGAGAATAATCTCATATACCAGCTGGTGGGGACCATAAGCCGCCATCATTCCAGCAAAATATGGATCCTGATAAGGATGTGAAGCACATGCCTGCAAAAAAAGAATAGGAAGGATGCTAAAAATCTTCCTTTGAAGGATAAACAGAGTCCCCATGAATTTATGCCACTCAATAATCCGTAAATTATAATTCCGTTTTTTCTTCTAACTCACTATTGAATGACCAACTAGTTCGAGCTGTGGAGCCTGTGTGAAGCATTCATCTCGCATGGATGGTGCAGACGACGAAGCATGCTGCATGCCCTGGTGTTCTTGAACGTAATTTCCTACCAAGGAAACGATATGAAATTTTAGCATCCGCACCTTATAATAATTGGGGCCATGAAAATAATATGATTCATAAACTTATTTACTATATAACATAATGCAGATGAACCTGATTGATTAGGAGCACCGGCTGGTGATTCTTTAGTGGCATCATCATCTTCCTCATTCAAACCACTATTGGACAAAGATTGACCATCATTGGATTCAGATTCAGCATTAGGGCATTCCAGTGAGGATGAATTCGATGCATTTGCCCCGGTCATTGCTTGATTCACGGGATTGTACCCAACACCACGCCACCAAGGCTCAGAATAAACATTGTTCGCTGGAAAAGAATGCTGATCAGTCCTTAGTTGATTTGCAGTTTCAGACTTGGACTGCATATTTTAAGATCCCTGCAAAAAGAAATTAGAAAAGTAAATATCATACCGTGTTAAAATGAAGACAATTTAATTAAAAGTCAATAAAGCCACCAAAAAGGTTCCTTCACATTAAGAGAACCATCAGTAGCAAACATAATTAGAGTAGCTACAACATGACCCTTTCTGATTAGGCTAGCTACACCATGACTCTTATATCATGTCTTCGTTCACTACAGAACCATCAGTAGCAACATAATTAGAGTAGCTACCACATGACTCTTTCTGGGGGCTTCATATTTTATCTATTACCTCCATTTCCAATACAAGGCATTTTTACCTCAGACACACCAAGAGAAATGGTTGGTTAGTCAGTTAAAAATTTAAGGTTTTTCCAACTTGGCCCTTCTTTAAATGCATGAGACATGGAGCATATTAATGAAGGGAGATAAGTAATTTTATTATACTCTTACGGGTATTTTAGGGAAAAAGAGATCATTTGCCCTTAAAAATCCACAAAATGCCTTTATACAGTGAAACATGGTATTGTCAAAAACTCGCCTTATATTTGCAAGGGAGAGAGTAATTAGTTGCAGTGAATTGTTGGTAACGCTTCCCACTCAATTATCTAATCTAAGTTATAATAAAAGCAATATGTATCAGAAATCAACTCGTTTTCATATTTTGTTTTTCTTGATCTTCTGCTGTACTTGTAACTCCTACAAGAGAACAACTTACACAGAAATTAATATCAACTAGAAGACGAAAATGCAAGCACTGCTACATTTCTTTTGTCAATCTATTCTGAACCAAACTGAACCAGGGAAAAAAATACCAACATGCAAATTGAGCTGCCAGCAATTGAGGCAGGATAGCCAAACCAGACACAAGCTTCTACACTATAATTGATGCAATTTCGACAAATTTGCAAGTCTGACCGATCCCACTAGGAGCTTAAAGAACCCAATTCTCCCCACCCCGCATTCGCAACCAATTTCATCACATGATGGAATTTCCCACATGCCCCAATCAAATTGATTTCCATGATTCCATATCAGAATTAGCAGAAAAAAACCATGCAGTCGCAGAATTGTTTGATTCAGACTAAAATTAAAACAACCTCAACAAGTAAAACACAAGAAAACCACAGAATTCTCCCTATATCCCAAAAACCCTAACCTCAAAAGCCCCGCACCTTAATCGATCACTCACCCGATCAAATCCCCAACTGAAGAAGAAACAATTGACCAAACCAAAGAACTTACCCGCGCAAACCAGATGAAAAAAATACAAACCCTAAAGTGTTGGGGCTTCAGAACATGATAGACATTCAAGGGTCAATCTGATTTGCCTCTCAGTTCTAAATGAAGCACAAGGAAGTACTAATTTTATTATTAAAAAAAAATAATACCCCCAAGTCCTTCCCCTCAAGGCCTAAAGTGCCTTTCCTATTTAAAATTTCCAGGGCAGGACGTCATCCAAATGTGGGCCCAGTGGGTTTGTGACGAGACACGTGGAGCGTGTCTGCGCGGGCAACTGGCTGGACCGGGATCCCAGTCGACACAACAATCCGGAGTGATAAAGGAACAGAACCGGGGCAATTTTTTACTTTCTCGGTTTTTATCACTTTATCAAAATTAAAGAATAATAATTAAAAATAAAAAATAATTTATCTATATTTAAATATATGAATTTAAAAATTAACAAAATTATCATATTTCTGAAATTAAAAAATATAATAAATATTATTTTATCAAATAAATCGTAAAGACAATTAACCTTTTTTTACTCTGTAAGCCTTAGAGTAAATTTTTAAATATTTTATTTTATTATTTATATTAAATTAAAATATCATAAAAGTTTTTTAGTTTTTTACATATATGTATTAACAAAAACAGACGCAAGAAAATATCGGAAAGAAAAAAGTGCATCCCAATTCATTATGAGGAAAGGAGCGACCGGCGAAATCAGGTTGCCAGTGAAGTGATGACTGAGGAAAGAAAAGTCCAAAGGAAAAAAACAAAATTTCTGGCCCACGTGACACGCACTTGACTAGCAGTAAACCGGGAAACGCGTGGCCTTCCGGTGGGGACCACATCGTCGAAACAGTGACAGCAACGGCAGCCACGTGTCCCTTCAGCATCTCAAACTCAGCCTTCAACTTTCTTTTCTTTTCATTTTATTTTCAAAAAGTCTCCTGGGAATAATTATGAATTCCCCACCACCACTAGAACTAAAGTTAGGCCCAGTTGGTTCCCAAAAAAAAAAAAAGACAAATCTAGTACGGCGACCAAGAATTTTTTTATAAAAAAAGATATATTATTAAATAAACATGAAATGCGAAATTATTATAAAATTAAGAATATAAACGTATACTATAAAATATCAGGTTAAAATACATTCAGTACATGAAGTATTTTCACAGGTGTATTCACCACTCCGAATTATTTTGTAATATATCCAGTATTGTGAAATATTTTTTCTGCTTAGAAGTTGATACACCAAAAAAATCTTTGAATGCTAGATGTACCTAAAAAAATACTTTAAAATGCTGGATGTATCCAAAAATATTTCAAAATACTGGATTCACCTTAACCTTAAAATATTCCCTCCTCCTCCTCTTTATGAGTTACAATTTTTTAATACATCATCCCTTTTATAAATTACAACTGAATATTCATACATTTGTTTTATTTTTATTCCAATTAGTTATTGCTCATCTTTTTTTCTTCTAAATCAGTCTGATTTATTTTTCCCCTATTCTCTCTCACTTCCCCTCTCAATAAATAAAAGTATCTTTAAACAAAATACATTTCTTATATATTTATTGTATTTCATTCAATTAATTTTTGCCAAATTCTTAATCCACATAATTCTCTTTATTTGTAGCTGCTTAATTTGAACTTCATCTGTAGCTTAGTCTTTTTTTTTTCCCCATCGTGAATTATTTGGATTATGTTTGCTTTATACATTAAAAACAAAAATTTGAATCTAGAACCACACGTTTCAAAGATGAAAATCCCTACAGCTCGTGTTAATGGGAGTGTAATAGAAGATAAAATATTGTGGTGAGAAATGTTAACGTCACGCGCTAATGGGGTGGCATCGTCATTGCAGACAGGGAGTGAAAGAAAGTAAGGAGATGGACTTTTTTTCTTTATCTCCTCGTTATAATAATCAACAAGTCAGGATAATTGATGATACCTTAATGGATTGGGAATCTGGATTTATTACTTTTTTTAATGAAACAGGTTCAATTAAGAATTGCACAACGTGGCAGCACTCTTGCCATGTTGGTCGTTATCATGTTGGTCGGCCTTTTTTTTGCTCACTAGATTCTCCTATTTGTGGGATTTGATTTCTTTCTAATTTTTTTCACAAATAAGAAATTACTATAATTCTAGGATCTTTCTTTGACAACCTTGTAGCTTTTATTTTATATTAAAACGTGTACTGAAAAAAGTTTAACAACAACATGAATTTATATATGAAATCAAACCATACCACTTGGCCTAATAGATTTTTTTAAATGAATTTGGAATTGAAATAAGATTAATTATAAAAATTGTCGATAATTATAAAGATATGTTTAGTAGTAAGTAAATAAAATTTAAATATAATTTTTAGTTCATGTTACCGTGCTGGCGTGCTATCCGTAGGAGGTAAAAAATTTTAAAAAAAAAAAATCCCAAGGACTCCAAACCGTCAACCACATGGTTTTTCTCCAACATCGATGGCTACCACCATCCCCGACGAGCCACCACCAGCCACCGTATGGCCGCTCACCCCACCACCACAAAACACCGTCAACCGCCCACCACAAATATATTCTTTTCCAGAATAATATGAAAACCGGCCTACAACCCATCATCTCTGATCCACTTCTGTGGGCGAGCTTCGGCACTAGCATCTCACAAAAGGTTGTCTCCGTCGGTCGTCTCTCATCGCCGCCGCCGTCGTCCGTTCAATCTCCAGCAAACAGTGAGCATCAGTTTCGACGCCCACAATCCCGCCGATGATCTTCCAATCTTTCTGTTAGCATCTCAAAGCTGCTTGTCTCTGTCAATGGAAGTCAAGACCCTATGTCGAATACACCCATGCTCCATGTGAAGGATAGGCGACCCCGTGGGTGGAAGCTGATCAGTTCAAGCACGGCGGCTCTTTGACTGGTTCTGGGCGTTACTTTCTAGTAGCTGCACTATACTGAGTCAAGGCTTAAATGATATCCCTAGTGTTTTTTCAGTCACGGGCATCTCTTATTAAAAGGTAATTTTGTTTTGTCATCAAAGAAGCAGCCCAACCCTTATTCATCCTTATGTTTAGTGCTGCGTTCATGATTGTATCTATTTTTCTCCTTCTCTATTCTATGCTGCCGTGTAAGGTTCCTCCACTAATCTTATGTTTGGTATAGAGAAAATAGAAAGGACGGGGCCAAAAATTTAAAGAGACTCGATTTTTAAAAAAAATTAGAAAAATAGAGTTACAGAATTTCAACAAAAAGAATAAGCAAGATAAAAATGTAAAAAAATTAATTAAAAATTTTTAACTACACTTTTTCAATTTTTCAAATCGACTTTATCAAAATTTTCCTTTCCTTTCTTTGGTTTTCCTTACACCACAAATGATGAGTGAGGATTGTGATTAAGATTAAAAAACACATGTTAAAGTACCGTCTAAATGGAACGTTGCCTATTATTTGAATTGGACAAACTTGTATATCTGGAATTAGAGAATACAATAAAAAAAATTGTGATATTTATCAATTCCACATATATAAGATTACTTAATTTCATATAATAAAAAATTACTCATATTAAATATTCTTTAATAGTTTTTCTCAATCTCAATCTTAATTTTTATTTCTCATTCTCAGTGTTTGATATCAAAAGCTACCCATAATGGGTCGTTCATGAATTTCCTTTACCGTTTCCCTTATTCTTATAATGTTTGCAGTAGGAGCTCAAGGGCTTCTAATAACCTTTTTTTGCCAAAGTATTTCTAGTAACCTAATTTAAGTATTTCTCTAATCTTATTTTAAGTTATTTTTACTGTATCTCACCGAAACTAGGGGGAAAAAACCCTTACTTCAGGGGTGTTTGGATAGAAACCAAACCATGGTTTCAGAAGTGCTTTTACAGATTACGAAGTAAATATATAGAGGAGGTTGTCTCGTTTTACGGAAAAGTGCTTCTGAAACCGCGGTTTGAGAAATACCAAACACTCCCTTCATCTTAAAATTTAAAAGCATGATAAAAGTAAAGTTGGAGCTATGGTGCGCCGTACTATAGGGGAACGGAAGATCGTACCAAATGCAAGAGGTGGGGCCAGGGAGGGGAACAAGACGACACGTGTGCAACTCTTGTCATCACCTTCCACTTGATCATGGCTCATGTGTAGATGTTTCGTACAAAATAGATAAGATATGCAGGTACATTGATAGAAAGAAGCCAGCATTATTGGGAGCCTGAAACGAGCATCCCAGAACACCTTTCTTTTTACTTTCATAGAAGCCAAGGAATTGAAATTGAAAAAGGCCAAAAAAAAAAAAAGAAATTGAAAAACTTAAGATACATCAACCCTTTCAAAATTAATGTTATCAATTTTTTTTGGCAAAAAAATTGATCGCATTATTTATGTTATCAAATCAATACTCTTTATTTTTGCTGAGATAAAATTAGGCCCATAAAAAAATTGATCATATTATTTATGTTATCAAATCAATACTCTTTATTTTTCGCTGAGATAAAATTAGGCCCATAAAAAAAATTGATCACATTATTTATGTTATCAAATATATACTCTTCATTTTTTGCTGCGATAAAATTAGGCCCGTTTATTTATATCATCAAGTCCATACCTCCGATTAAATCTGTAAAATATCAATTTTTTAATAATAAGAATTCACACGTATAAAATTTCAAAATCATAAATATAGATTTGATTGAAAAATTAAACCTAATGAATATAAACAGTAAAACTTAAATTATGCGCTTTTTTTTATAAAAAAAACAGCCAGAGCATATTTCATTATACATGATTTGTAAACAAGGTGAATTGCTATATTTTTTATATTATTGATAATATTGATGTTAATATTGATTTATTTCAAAAGTTGCATATTTTCAAAGGATAAAGTGCTCTATTTGTGGAGGTAAACAAAGAAGTGTTCTACAAGGAACTGTGAATTGAGCAGCCCAGCTCGGGGGATTCAAACTTCTTATGAAAAATAAATTATTTTCATATAAGAGTTAGTTTAACTTTCTATTTGATTCTAAATATAAGACTTCAATCTATTTTATCTTTCATATTTATCTATTTTTCTTAATATTGTGTAGTTACGCATGTTAAATGTTTCATTAAATGACACTTGATTAGTAAGAGTATTTTAAAGAAAATAACATTTATTTATTACAAATAACTAACTTAACTAATTTTCTTAATCTACTAAAATTAATCAACTCTTATATTAAGAGCCAGAAGTAGTATATTATAACTATATATTTTCTTCTTGCGATGCATGTCATAGATAAAATACATAAAAATTTAAAAGAAAAGGAGTTGGATGGAGTTTAATAAATACTTTCTCCGGTTCTATTTTATAAGACCTTGTTTGTAAATTAGGACTGGAGGTAGCATATGGAAGAAAAAAGTTTAAAAAAAAAAACATGGAGTTTGAGATAAATCACAACGTAATTCATGGATAGTGTGATGTTCAATGAATTTTATATTTTATATTAATGATGTTGATTGATGATATTGATGATTTTATTTCACTCACAACCCCCAAATTTGGTCTCTTCATGTCATGTGTGCCGTGATGATACTGGAAGAAGAGAAAATAATTTACAATAATTAATTATTGTGTCTATCCTCTCAATTCCTTCCCACTATCAACCGTGAAGGTCAGGTTCACTAGTGGGGGAAAATCAGTCCATAAAAAATATAGTGGGAGAGAACCACTCAAAAACAAATCAGTGGGAGAAAAGACATAATTAAAAAAAAAAAAAACCAGAAATCAGTAGGTGAAAAGAGGAAAGAGGGGAGGGTTCAAATACCAGACACTTCATAGCTGCAGTGGAACTTCCCTTCAAGTTTAATGCCTATCACCTAACAATAATGAAGATGATATCAACTCTTGAAAAGGCCCATGGCCACGAAGTTGCTGTTGCTGCCACTTTTGCCATCACCTGCACCATAGATTATATACGTCTCTATCCAGAGTTAAGGCCTATTACTCATATACCTAATAACCAGGCCTTTATGTATGCTTTTCTTCAAGGTTGATACATTCTTATTGTTTCACAGTGATAAACTGTCTACAATATCTAATCATTTGTTACTACTGAAGTAGATAGACAGTATTCTGGGGATTGGTGGAATGGATGGGTAGAGATTGCAAGAAGATGCAAGGTAACCACACATCTCATCCAACATCTTAGAGACACGTATAGATCCCCGTTTTTGGCAGATGTAACCTTTAAGCTGGGTGTGCCAAAACATGATTATGGCCTTACTCCAATGTGATTCCAAACACACCCTAAATCCCAAGGTTCATATGAGCCTTACAATAGAATTCCCGGACTTCCAATGTAAGACTAATTGTACAAGGTTGGCGGGTACACGATCATATTCGAAGAGTTGCAAGAACAGCACGACTCTGGGGAACTTCTATTTATCTATGGTCAACTGGCGAGTTTAAAGGCATCAATGAAGAGTCCATAAGTGAAACCCATTTTAAAGTTGTTGAGAAGAGCAATGGGGAAGGTAACCTTGGGCCGGCTGTAATAGAACTTAGTCACATACTCTGTCAGGAGAACACATACTACAGCAGCAATCACATCATTTACTGCAAGAGCTCCAAAAGATAGAGAAATTGTTTGTGCAACATAAAATCCACCCAACAAGGAGATTCCACCAAACAGTGCCCTCCGAGAAGGACTTCTGAAGTAATTTCTTGAGAGTTCAGGAACAATTCTAATGATGTCCACAAGTCTTCGTGATCCACCATTCTCTTGAACCGCCCTAATGCGAAGCCCTGTGGAAGATCTGGCTATAAGCTTTCTGGAGATATCACCTTGGGTTTTGGAAAGTGAGCCAAATCTGAGGCCTACTGCAATCGAGCTCATTGAAAGTGCCATTTGACTTTCTTCTATTATGAATCAGTACGGTTGAGAAAGCTAGCCAACCTAAAATAGTTGACAAGTAAAGTATTACATCTCAAAACCACCCCAAAATATTCGTAACAGCAACAATGTCACAAATAAATGATATCTAGAAGAAATAGCAACCAACTAGAATAAATGCAGAAGATTACAGGGAATTTATGGTTTATCTTGTCCCTAAATTTTTTTGTAATTAAAAGGTCATTCCTAGTCTTCGTTCCAGTTTGCAGATTATGGTCTTTTATTGATGCACAATTCTCCACAATTTAGAACAAATTATTCAAAGATATATGATACTACAATTTACCTACCCAATAAAAGCATAGAACTAACGAAGGAACAATCAGTTGATGTTACTTTTATCTTCCTGTTCTAAGCGCTAAAGCTAACAGAATTTCCAGGCTTGAGGGAAGTGGACCAGACTCATAAGCTGATTGATCCATTTACAATGGACAAGCAGGGATCTTTAACAAATTCGGAGAATCTCCAATCATAAAATGTTGAAAACTGGGGACTTAATGTGAGATATGTTCCACTTATCCTTATTATGGGCAACAAAAGTCCTGAAATTTGTAACGTCTCAGGTTTGCCGGATCATCCAAGAGAAAATATTGTACGACCTTCGGTCTTTAATATAAAACCCTGTTTGACTTTTATTTGGTCCTAAATATAAGACCTCAATCCACTTTGTCTCTCATATTGATATATTTTTTCCAAAATAGTCCTTCTAATAATAATAGTTTTAGTCAATATACTTGATTAGCAAGGATATTTTAGGAAAGACAACACCTATTGAAGACAAATAACTAACTCAACTTACTTTCTTAATCTCCTCAAATTAGTCAAATAGCTCTTATAATTAGGATCAGAAGTAATATTTGATTCTTGGCTTCACTCATATAGGCAGCTTTACCGCTATTTCCTTTCACTTTTCTTTTTGGGCCAAAATTTCCTTTCACATTAACACCCTCAGCCCCAACCTCTCCCCACCAACCAGATATGTTCTAATTGTCCCCTTATTGGCATAAAGTAGTTCAATTTTCAAAGTCTGTTCCAAAATCCAGGCTTCCACGTATAAAGGGAGAAGGAGCCACAAGAAGTAAACATCAAACTTCATCTTTGGCGTTTATGTTCACACACTCATTTCAAAGGCTTTCTCTAAACCACCTCAACTAGGCAATTGCAGCACGGAAGGTTCCATCTCAAAATTTGGAAGTTTTGGACAAGAGCTACAATGATTGCATTCCAAATATCACATTCTTACTGAGGATTCAACCAGAGAGTCTCCTACCTGCCCTCTTTTTTCCGAGCTTAGCAAATTTATACAACCCCGCAGGCCAAGAAACAAATTTACACAATGAATTTTCTTTTTCTAGCAACGACCAAGAAGAAATCAGGTCACTGCCACCACCAAACTTAGCCACATAGAATTCAATAAAACCACATTCTTGGACATCATCAAATAATTCATTGGCTTCCACAACCATAGTGTTGTCCAGATGCCGCTCCACACCCCCCGGAGGGCCCAAACACAAACAAAATATTCCATGAAACAGTGCTTCTCCAGAATTCGGATAATTTTATGAAACAATTTTGCACCATACCTTCTTCCACCAGTTTTAGATTGTCATATTTAGAAAAACCTTCAAAATGCGAAGTCTATAGACAATTGGCAACAACAGAGACTGAGAAAAGTTCATTCACAGACAAAAAAAAAATCTCATAATACAATATGAATGAAATATGAAATCCTTTGTCAGATTCAAAGAAGAAGAAAAAGTTCAAAACAATGTACAAATTCCATTCCTTACCATCAAAACTCCTAAAGACGAAAAACAAAAGAGAAGACAGAAGAATCAGCTAAGGCATCAAGACAGAGTTAATTAAACTTCGGTATACCTAATTATCCGAAATTCGATCCTCGCAGGTGCAGTCTCCAATTTGAACTGTTACAGAGCGGAGACCGACCACTGTGCGATGTTGGCGGTAAATAGACAATGAAGCAGGAGAAAGAGAGTGCGAGAGAAAATGGAGTAAGCAAGCAAGACTGAAGACTGGGGAGATAAGAGAAAGTGGTCGTTTTCTTTTGGCGCCTCAGATACAGTGGAGAGGCAGCCAATCAGCTTTGTGAGGGTGAGGTGGAAATTGGATACGGAATGAACGTGATGACCCTTTGACCCGGAAATGAGGCTGCGTAGTACTTTTTCTCTCATATGGGCTTGGGTTTTCATTTAATAGGCCCAAACCTTTAAGCCCAACAATAGAGTTGGGCCTAAGGGAGCTGACGCAACCTATGTATAATAACTTTTTTTCACAAATATAGGTTGAAGTTAAAAAAAATCATATAAATATTATCCTAATTTAACCTCTTGATAAGAAAATTTTCATCCTCTTCAGGCCAAAAACGTGGGGAAACTTGCATTTCACTACACACAATACTATATACAGTACATATATAGTTGAAATACATTATAAAAAGCATAAAATCTATTTAAAATATTTGATGATATTGTGCCAAATAGAATAAAAAATGACTGCGTTGTGGTTATATCTTTATTATTATAACTTTCAATAAAAATAGAAACCTATAATTTTTTATAATGATATGATAATAAGCATATAGCAGTTTTTATAAACAAGGTTATATATAATAATTCATCCTCCAGTTAAATTGTATATATGATATTTCAATTAAAAACCTTAACAACAAATAAAGTAAGAAAGTAATTGAATACAGATATATATAACATGAATAAAAATCACAGTCTATAAATTGCCATAAAACCCAAGGTTACCTTAGTGGGTAAGTATGTGTCATGTTGCAAAGAAAGTAAAGTGGATGATCCTCTTGTCCTATTAAAGTATGTCTTTAATTATACAAATATATACTCATATAAATAGAATAAGTCTCTTGACCACCTTCCTTTGATTTGCTTCGCTTTAGGAAAAAACACAAACCAACCTATCTTAAGTCTTAGCGCATTGTACAACGATCGAAAGCAGCTATGTGACTTTTATATACGACAATTGGAATCTATATATCCATTTCATATTTAGTATCTTTTCCTGATTCATATGAATCTGTGCATTATTCTTTTCAATATTCTCAGTCATAAACTTAGATTTGGATGATATGAGTTTGTAATGAACTCAATTTTACTTATAACCACCAGTCGTTAATAGTTATTATCTCTATAATTGAAAAAACACTTACTGTTTCTTAAAAGATTAGTATCGAGCTTTCTAGCATATACTTCGGAATGAATTCTCTGGCACTTGTTTAATTAGTTTCTCAAACCAGTGAATATTCATGTACGTACTTTGCATTCTTTAATCCTTTTTTACTCTTTTTTTTCCTTTTAATTTCTTTTCCTTTTCCTTTTTTGAATGAAAAAGCATCCGGATATACTGTGTTTACTGGTATTTGGTGAAAGAACCATAGGAATGTACACATCACCGTCCACGTGCACTGCTGAACTGATGAACACTAAAAATATGAATAAATACTACCTCTAATCCTTAATATAAGACTCTGTTTGACTTTTATTTTGGTTTTAATTAATATAAGACCTCAATCCATTTTGTCTCTCATATTTATACATTTTTTTCCAAAGTAACCCTTCTAACAATGATAGTTCTAGTCAATACACTTGATTAGTAAGGATATTTTAGGAAAGACAACACCTATTTAGGACAAATAACTAACTCAATTTACTTTCTTAATCTCCTCAAATTAGTCAACTGACTCTTATAATTAGAATCGAAAATAGTAGTAAATAATCAGAAGCAAGCATTGATTACCAAATAAGCAGAAAATTTTTCCAGAGTGATCTAATGACTGATATCATAACAAATCATATAGATTCCAGTCGTATCAAATTTCAAATTAAAACTTTTTCTATCTTTAAGCCAGGTAAATTAGTTAATTCTAATAAATATGACATGACCTCTTAAGGATACCTTATATAATAATATTAGATTATACATATATAATAGTTAGATATTAAGTAGTTCGAGAGAAAATATAAAATACAACAAGAAAAATAGATCAAAGGATTACGTTTATGATTAAAAAAAAACCCTAAAAATGTTAAGTACGTTCCACTTAAACAAACACTAGCTATATATTCTTTTTATATCAAAATGCCATCTTCAATATATATATTAGGTTTCAGTGGATTAAATGTACCTGGCTATATTGAATAGACATATTCAATATTATTTTCTCTGTAATTAACTGATTGAACATCTTGTGTTGGGTGGCCATATAAAAAGAATTAAAGAGATGAGATGTCACATATGTAATTAATGAGGCGAGTAATTAAATTAAAGCTAGCAAGTGCAGTACCTAGGATTCTCCTTTTGATTCCCTTGTTTATGCCACATTCCTAGCTTCTGTCTACACAGTAATTATTTAATTTGATTCAAACACTTTGTTTTGTCTTCCAACTTGCAACACGTTTGGCGGCTTGTTCAGTTCATATATATACTAATACTACTTATTCAAACATTTCAAAATCTCTGATTGATTAAAGTTAACTTTACTGGGCCTAATTTCTCATGATTTTTCCACATATAACACATGTATATACCTTTTTAATCTTAAAAAATTTAACCGTTTGAGAAGTTAATATTCATTATAAATCCAAAAGCAAAACTTTTTTTTCTTGCTCATCTTATGATGAAATTTATAATATGCAAGTTCATTTGTCAAAAAATGAGTAAATGAATCGATTTCATGTTCCAGCCCCTATTTATATATCTGTAAAAAAAATTTACTACCGTTATTTTATTTTGTCGTTATATATAATACTATCTTCGGTCTTTAATATAAAATCTTGTTTGACTTTTATTTTGATCCTAAATATAAGACCTTAATCCACTTTGTCTCTCATATTTATGCATTTTTTTTCCAAGGTAGTCATTCTAATAATGGTAATTCTAGCCAATATATTTGATTAGCAAGGATATTTTAGAAAAAACAATACTTATTTATTACAAATAACTAATTTAACTTTTTTTCTTAATTTTCTCAAATTAATTAACTAACTTTTATAATTAAGATTGGAGGCAGTATAAAGAAGTAAGCAAGATTTGCAAACAATGATTAGGGTGGAAAAGGGATAAATTACCTGCTCTTAGTTGATTGATAATTATTGACTCTTTGCAAAACCGCGTTGCCCATTATCACTTCTGATCTCTGTGAAGCACAAACTCCATGTGGAACTTTTAGGATAATTAATTAGTAGTATTTTAAAATTTAATAGGTTTAACAAGACCTGTTAAAATATATAATAATAATTAATAATATTATGGATAAAAAGTCGTGAAATAGCAAAACATTCTCCTAAATTACTTACGTTTAAAGCAAAAGCAGCTGTAATTTTTTAAGTGAGAAAATTGAAGACTATGAATTTGAAGGAGAGGATCCAAGTTTGTACTCTACCAGAACTATATATAACAACGATTTGACTCAAAATAATAATAATAATAATTAGAAAAAGATCAAACAAGTTGATGGTTTTGGATCTTTTTGAGAAAACATGCATGGGCACAACCTCGGATTCTTGAAAAATTGGCATCTAATGAACTTTGATGAAAAGCCTAAGCTCTGTCGTGTTTGGTTAATTAATAATAATAAATGTTTACATCACTGCAATTGGGAAGGCTGCCTCTTTTCACTTACCCATCAATATACACCCACATTGTCTCCAATTTTTAGTATTATTTTTTATTTTTATCTCCGTTAATTATTAGTTAATCTCATTGTTATATATTAATTATCTACTTATTCACTCTTCATAAATAAACACATTCTTAAAAAATTTATATTTTCTAGATATGTTTATTATCTTTAATCAACTGTTCTAAATATTTGGTAGTTGGAGTATTTGCATTTTTCTTAAAAAAAAAAAAGAAAAGAAATACCCCACATGGTATTATTAATCCATCACACACCATTCACTCCGCTCTTACGAACATTTCCTCATTCCAAGGCACATGTTACTGTTTGTCTGACTTTCTTTCACCGTGTATACACTAAATTAACTTTATTATTAAACAATTTTTTTTGCCAACAATATTTATTAAACTACTATCTTCAATTTTAAACATAAGAGCTAGTTAACTAATTTGAGTAGATTAAAAAAATAAGTTAAATTAGTTAGTTCTAATAAATAGATGTTGTCATTCATAAAACATCCTTGCTAATTAAGTATATTGGTTAGAACTATCATTATTAGAATAACCGTTTTGGAAAAAACACATAAATATAAGAAACAAAATAGATTTTGATATTATATTTAGAACCGGAGGTAGTATTTTATAACCTTATATGCTAAGTGGTCAATCAATTTACAGATACATACACACACTGTAACCCTAGTTAAAGCTTATATATATTGTTGATGAATTTGACTCTTTTTTACGTCCCATTGGTTTCTCTTGAATTTTAAATCCGTTTGCGAGCCGAAACATATAATAAAGCTGTAAGTTTAATTAACAATATTAAAGATCATAACCAAGTAATATTTAAACTACACGGAATCTTTCTAGTTTCTCTAGGAGAAGAACACTTTTATTTGTGTTACACTGTTGTTAGATCATAACTTCCAATATAAAACTGTGCATCCATTCTTGGGCCAACATATGAAACTATCCATTTTCCAAAAACAATTATCACTAAAATTGTTTCAAATAATTGTTAAAATATAGGTATACATAGGAGTCATCTTTTAGGTGATCAGTCTGGGAAAATTTTTACCGAAAGGTTTAAGGATTTAAAGGGAATATAAGAATATGCATATAATAGCTAGGGACCTGACTAAAGTGAACTACAAAAGGCAAGCTAAACAACAAAGTACTGAAATTAGATATGATTAATGAAGAGGACAAAATGATGAGAAAATTCTTAAGATTCTCTAGTTAATGTGAATCTGATTGAGGAGGACGACGATGATGTTTATGATCAGAGCCGCACGAGAGCTCTCTCATTGGATTCTCTTACAAATGTCAGCCTCACATGCATTCATTTGATTTCCTTAATTTCAAATTCAAATTTTTTCACTTCTTAAAATATAAATTCTAGCTAACAAAATTGGTCCAATTGATAAGAAATTGATTCATATATAACTTACAAAGTCATCAGTTCAAATCTTGCTACTTAGTGAAATACTAATAAGAAGATTTTATTAGTAAGCGATTTATAAATATCTCTATAAGTATTTTTTGAGTTTTGAAAAATGCACTAGCCCTTATGAAACTCTCAGACCTAAATCACTTTTAAGTCCAATTTTATTTTAACTTAATCAAACCAAAATTTTAATTTAATGCTATACTTTCTTTTGTAGAACTATGATTTATTTCAGATTGGTTATGGTGGCTAACTGGAATAGAGAAAGATGGGTACCTTTTAAATAATAGAAACAATAATGTTACGAAATATATTTACAAGATATAAATTGTAAAATAATGAATTTATTTCAAATGATTCAAAAATCAAGTTCTAACGGGTCAAATTTGATAACTCTGGAAAAGAAATTTGGTAGGCCCAGAATTGCACCGCATGCTTATCTTTGGACCAAAAATCTAAACTATTTTAATTCATGTGAACCGTTTAAATAAAATTATTTTTTATTCAAACTATAACTTATTTTTCAAAGAACATATATCAATTATTTTACTTTATATGATATTTCCGTTGAACGAAAATAAAACTAATTAATATTTGTACCCCTGAATGATCCATATCGATTAACAGAGGGGTTACTTTACAGATGTATATACGTGTATATGACTTAATCAAAGTGAAAAAGCGTGTGCATGTATGTGTATGTGGACCCTAAAGTTTGAAAATAAAGAAATAATGTCTACTTAATTAGAGAGATATTGATTGATTTTAACTTTATATATTAATTCAAGACAAGCAATAGTGGCATGCTTACTAGTGGGGTTTAATCAACCTTACCAACTGCGATTTAATTTATAATTGGCCCTTAAATGAACTTCCCTTCATTATTTGGTCAAAAGCGAAGGTCATAATTTGAATTTATCATGCAAATTAAATTTGTAATCATACCTTTGAAAATAATACTTCTCCGGTCCTTAATGTAGGACCCAATTGTTGAATTGGTTTTGGTCCTAAATATAAAACCCACTTCTCATATTTATTAATTTTCTTTAAATTATCTCTATGGATACTCCCTCAACCATAATCAACTAGAAGAGGAAGATGGGTATTAAGAAAGATGATTATGGTATTTTAAGAAAAATGTGTCACATTTCTTATAGTTAACTAACTCACATAACTTCCTTAATCTAATCAAATTAGTTAAATGGATCTTATATTAAGGACCGTAAGAGTATATATTATCAAATTTAGACAAATGTACAATTTTCCACAGTGCAAGCACGCTACTGATTCAAATCATATGCATGTGACATTTATCATTTTTGTCTTGATTAAAATCCCTGCAAAATATATGATATTAATTTCCTAACTACCAGTCTAAAGGATAATGATAGAATAATAAAATATAAACCATGATCAAACTATGCAGAATGGAGGGAAAGAGAGACGAAGAAGGAGGGTTTTGTGGGGATATACAAAAAGGAAAGGCCGAAAGGATATGTTAACGTACGACTTTGCCTTTTCTCATATTCACTGAAACTAATAACAAACTCAAAAGCTTGCTGCAGAGATGGAAACTGAAACTCACAAAACTCAAATGTAAAAGCATTACAAAATAACACTAAAAAGCCTGAGAATATTCTAATGATCATAACGCAAAAACCATTACAAATTAATTTGCTTGCACTCATCACGCTTTAATTCAAATGTCAGGAGATACCATCTTTTCTGTAGGAAAACTAAAACCTAAATTCAGCCATCCCCAGCTAAATTTAGTGACTGAAAAAAGAACCCTAAAATTAGCAGAGAAAGAGGAAAGCCTAAGAAGATTATGCAAAATCTCAAGATCACCAAACTGTTAATCCCCTGATTAAGATCAACCACTCCAAAAAACAAAGCACTCTCCCAAGCATTAATTAATGAATAAACCTCCCATCGTTTGCTGGAGGTATAAATGATTAATCAGAGAGAAACTAATAATTAGAAACACTTCAAAAGCTCCGTGTTCTGAAGTGAGTCATGATCGTGGTGATCACTGTATCTAATTATATATGAAGGTGTATGAACACTGGAAGTGATAAAAGCTACAATAATAATCAAACGGAGATATTATCAGGAAGAGCGAGGAAGAAGAAGAGCTCCAAGTCGGGGGTGCGAAGAAGGAAATGGGAGTCCGACGACGAGAGCAATTACTGGAAAACAGTGAAACTGGCTTCTTCTTCTTCGGGGCAGGAGGACACGAGGCAATCTCTGGTATTCGGAACTTCTGGCCTTTCGGAGTGGAGCAGCAGGAAGAAGGAAGAGGTTCTTCAGTAGTAATTACCTCTGAAGAAGAAGACGACGGCGACGACGACGAAGAAGAAGGAGAAGGGGAAGGAGAATCTTCTGATACTTCTGGAACTTTCGAGATCTCTGGGCTTGTGGTTTGAGGAGTATTCTGCTTCTTATTGTTGAGACGGTGCGTTCTTGTGGTGGCTTTGAGGCATCGTCGTCTGGGTCTGGTTGGGAATGGCTTCGTGGTGGTGCTTGGGGAAGAAGAGGTTGGTGCCGAAGGGGCCATTTCTGGGAGACAAATTAAGAGGAAAGAGAGAGGGTTGTGGGGGGGCGTTTAGTGGCAATATAAATTGAGAAAAATCTGGGCAACGTGGCCCCCGCTGCCCGCTGCCCCATGAACAGTTAATAGGGTTTTTTTTGGGGGGGTGCATCGAGCAGTCGATATTTTTTTAGACTCTGGATTCCCTACAAAAATCTGCTCAAATAATGAATGGGGAATATATTTATATATATGTATATATATAAACTAGAGGCGAATTGTATCAATGTGAAAATGCAGGCTAAGATTTGGACATCTACTCAAATAATTTTTCTCGTCTTATACACAAGGTATTTTTTCATAAGATATTCTTTATTTTTTATAAAACATTTGATAGTTTTAAAAAGTTGGTGCTAAACATTTTTTTTTACATATACTCATTCTTAATAAGGATGAGGAGATAGTAAAAATTAATATGATGTTTAAATTTTTTTATGTTAAGATATGAAGTTGAAATTTAGTATAATTAATAAGAGTAATATTAAAATTTAATTTAATTTTATAATAAATTTAATAATTTTTAACTAATTTAATTAGTACATATGAATTAATTAAAAACTACTTTCATTCCAAACTTAAAAAAATATGCTGTCTCCTTATTATTAGTTGACATATATAATGGCATGTATATAATGATTCTATGTATACACATTATGGTAATTCAATGAAAAATATATATAGGCATGTATCATAGGCTATTTAGTATGTTTTGAAATTTGAGCATAATGAGATAAAAGGGAATCTTAAGAGAGATAATCTTATTTATCTTTCATGTGATACTATGAAAATAAGAGCCTTATAGAGGGATAATCTTATTTATGCTTTATATACAAATATACTTACATTTATATATGTGCCCTAGGTTATTTATGTATAGAAGGTTACAAAAGTAGTATGAATAATATAATTTTTTTTATGGAGACCTAGTACGATTTCAGTGCATGATGATCCTTTTAATTAATTTTAGGAGTTGAAAATTTTGCACAAATTTTGGCGGCTAGCTATCCACATTATTATGTCTTTGTTAGGAGTAAATAAATCTGACACATAAAATAGTTATTTTATCGTATTCTGACTTTCTCATAGAATCCTAGAAGAGAGTGTTTGCTAAATAATTAATGTGAATTAATCTCTGGCCCATTTGGCTCAGTTAAATAAATTTATTTGTTTGTCCAAAATAACTAAATTAACCATTTTTCATGGATAACTTTTCCTCAGTTAAAATTAAAATTGGACTCTGAATTTCTGATAAATAAAAGTCAAAATATAGTTTTTCTGTCTAAGTAGCATTATATTGTTACTAATTATTGGACTGGAAAAAAATACAATGGATACAAACTAATCACAATTAATATTCTTGTTAATTTCAGCTAAAAATATATATATATATATATATATGTGCAATTCTTTCTCTTTTGTTTTGGGTGAGAATTAGATTCCTTATTAGTCACGATCGATCATGGGATATCGATATTGCACTTTATACAGTACAATGATTCGACTAAATTTTCATAAACTTTCTTTACATTCTATTTTTGGCGAATTTTCTTCAAAATAAAAAAGGTCAAAGATTCAAGCTTTGGGGTATTAATCATATTCATGCTTATGCATCCGCAAAGCGAACGAGGAAGTGATATACGAGGCTCGTGACGACTATAAGCCTACACAATTATGAATTTCAAATTTTTAAAATTTTTATGCTCATAATATTACCAACGGGTGTATTTAAAATTTTACTATAATTAAATTAAATTAACCTCAATGCGGACAGCTTTCTTTGTTTTTTTTTTTTTTTGCCAGTACCATTCAACTGAAATTTTACCGTGCCGGAGAAAAAAATTGCTGGGGTTGTTCGCAGGAAGAGAAGCTTGGAAAACCATGGAAAAAGTTAAATGCAGACACAAATAAAATATTAAATAAAAAAACAAAAAGCCATAAAACAGGCGATTGTAAACTGGAGTAGTTGCCTGCTCTGTCGCTTTTGGATTTAAATTTAGAAGAATCCGATGCTGCTGTCCCTACACTGTGCTTCAAATTTAAAGTGATTATGATGATAATGTTAGTACATAAAGAAAAATTGTTCGGAGGACTATCCATTTAAATCCAGCGATAATTGAATATAATCTGTGTACTGAGCTATTCTTCCGATTCTAAATATAAGACTCTTATACACTAGTGTATATAAGGGCCTTATATTTATGACCAGATGAGTACTACAAATTATATAAAATTAAAACAAGAGTTGAGTTTCGTCCTAATATATTTTTTCATGTGCGTCCCTATCTTAAAGTATCATGTGATATGATTTTGCCCATAAAATATTTTTAGGATCAATTTTAATCTCGTAATTAACTCTCCAAAAAATCCATTAAGTGAATGTGTATTTAACATCATAAAGTATTTTTACACAAACATGTCAATAACACCAGACTTAAGCTTGACACCTTATTTGAACAACTTGTCATTGACGAATATAAAATGTAACTCATAAAAAAGTTGCTCCTGACTAAAAAATTATAACTTGTAGATAGGGTTGGAAGGAGTTCTCACTAATAACTTCTTCGATTCAAAGTTTAAGTACTGAGTAATTAAATTATGCAACTCAAAAAACTGATTAATATTGGTGAGAGATAATAAATATGTAAAAAAATGTAACTTATTCTCTCATTACATTTTTTTGCACACTTTATTTTATCATTTTTTAATTTATTATAAGGGCAATTTGAATTTTTTAACACTGAAGCGTGCATTTAATTTAGCATGCTTGGGTACGTGAGGAGGTTGGAATTGACAAAAAATTCTGAGCATTGAGCACAAGCATGCATGAGCATGACTTCTTCACGGTGAAAACCATGCATCCACAGCACAACACTGCTACTGCCCTCAAAGACACAACAACCATTTAAAATTAAAAATCGAAGCACAAGTTTTTTTTTTTTTTATACACCATCTCTTGTGTTTAATATAAAAGTTAAATAATGACTTAATTTGAGAATATTAAAAAATGAGTTAGGTTTATTATTTGTCACAAGTATGTGTTGATTTCTTTATAGAATTATATTTTGATGGGAATCTCTTACAATTAATATAGGCATATTTTTAAAAAAAAGAGATAATATAAATTGAGATCTTATATTTAAAATCAAATCTAACATCCTAACTAGTATTTATGTTAAGGAATGGAGGTAATATTTTAATAAAGTAAGTATCTATTTTGGTCTATAATATAAGACATTGGTTGAAAAAAAGTTGTGGTATTTACTCAAAAAAAAAGAAAGAAAGTCGTGGTACAAAATATAAAACGTTATTAGGATAATTAATGTGATTTTTTTCATTTTTGTTACTATTAAATATAAGAGAAAAATGAGAGACAGTAAAAGTGTAACATTAAATAAAATTTTATTATTTTTAGGGGCAAAATAGGAAAATCTTATCATTTAAGAATAAATTTAATGACCAAACTTCTATTTTTTGTTATGTGAGAAAAGTTAATCAACCTAACATTATTTTTTTAGTCTTATTTATAAATTACTTTTAATATGTTTCACACAGACTAATGGAAACACTAAACTTCATTAATTTTCGTTTAAAATTTAATAATTTTTCAACTTTATCCATATTTAATATACATTATATCTCGTGTAAACAAAGTTAACACAAAATAAATGAAGGTAAAATTATACATTCATAAAAAAAATTTCTAAATACCTTATAAATAGAAAAAAAATATTTTGTTTCTCTATTTTATAAATAGGGCCAGAATAGTACTCCTCCGGTTCTAAATATAAGACCCTTATACTAGTGTGTATAAGGGTTTTACATTGAGGAACGGAGGAGTATTACTGACCGGAGAAAGTAATAAAATAAGGGGTTTAATTAGGCGCAACAATTTCAGCAACAATTGCTGTTTCTTGAGGCAACAGGGGTTCCACATTTAATTGCATGGCACGCATATCTTGCACCCCACGGGTCAACTCTGCATGGGGATCAACCACCACTTTACCTCCCCCAACCCCCCAAAAAAAACAATAGATGTTCCCATTATTTATAATTAATTCTAATTATTCACTTTAATTACCATTTTTAATTAAAAAGCTGCCCGCAAAGTCGCAAACAAGTCGTCAAATCAGACTTTTATTTTTTTGAAAAACTAAATTGCACATAATTTTTTAAGAAAATTTTAGTAAAAAATTCCTGTTTGAAAACTAATTAACTAAAAGAAGATAAATTTGAGTGCAACTATGATTTGTGAATACGAATTTTCTTTTACTGTGTACAACATATCTTTTATTGTATGTAAATAACTTTTGTATTAATGGTTGTTGTACATCATTAATAATATGTTGTATACAGCTGAAAATAAGTTGTATTCACAAATTATGGCTATGATCACTTAAATTTATATTTTTTTTAGCCAATTAAGTTTTCAAACAGAAACTTTTAACGAAAATTGTCATTTGTTAGGGGCATAAATAATTTAAACATTGAAATTTTATTAATAATTTTTTTTTAAAAAACACACTTAGAACTGCTTACAATTTACCCCGTATGTTACGAATTATCTTGTATACAGTTTACCCAGTCTGTTGCAACTTATTACATTCAATCATCCCGCTTAGCGGAAGCAGAGAAAAGCCACTCCTAGTTAGTAGAAAAACTATTTAATTAATCGGGATAGGTTAAAAAATTTAAATAAATTATTTAATTTTAACAAATGTCATGTGATTTTTTTAAAATATCTCAAAAAAGCATTAGATTATATATTAATTTATAAGTTAAATAAAATACTCTGGGAAAATTATTAATACAAGAGATACCATGGATTAAATTCCTATGCTCAAGATCAAAACTAATTTTTTAACTAACTGATATATTTAAGACTGAAAAAATATCTAGCAAGTGTTTCATATCTTGTGGCCGGGACCGGGACTACAACGATCATTGGACCACCATATGTTAGAAACGGACCAAAATCAATATGGTACCATAATTTTAATATTAAAGCTAATCTTTGTTCGTGGGTCGAATAACCACAAGCAAAGTTTACTCTTTGAGGCGAGGCCCAAATTGGGTTTTTCAATTAGGTGAGGCCCAGGGTTATGAAGCTTTAGGTGCCCTGTCCTTAGATCAGGGTGAGCCCAGACTCTTTTTCTAAATTTTTGTACCAAAAAAATTTAATTTCTTCTTTTTTTAAAAAAAGGAATAAAAACAGAAGGTTCTCTCTGTTTTTTTTTGTTTGGAAAATACTCCAAGAAATGAAATAAAAAAAGTAGTGAGAGTTAATGTTCATTTGGATTTGCTTATATAAGTGCTTATAAACACATTTAATATAAGTTAAAATAAAATTACTCTCAAATGTTTATCTTGTATTTTATAAATCACAATTAAAAAGTGCTTATAAGCAATTTCAAACAAGCTTTTAAAAATATAAAAACTTAAGAAAAAATCTAGCTTACCCCTTTGGCAAGACAAGTTTTGATTGCTCTTTTTTTGTCCCTTTCGACCGGTCATAAACAAGCTCTGATTAACGAGACAAGTGGTATAATAATGCCTTGAAAAATAGTGCTTTTAATTAATTTATGAGAGAATATGTATAAATTAGGGACTTTTAATAAATTCTCTCATTTCATTTGGCTAAAAAGTTGCTCAACGTACAGCCACCCCGGCGAGCACATGCAATATAACGACGTGGACGCAGCCTATTCATAAAACTCAAACTACGCCGAAGCAATTAATTATGTTTGCCTAACAATTCCATACGAAGAAGATTCAATTCCAAACCACGTGGCCCGCCATATCACCAAATTGAAGATACCGTTCTTTGTCACTTGGCCGACACTGATCCATTTTCTCCCAAACATGATAAAGAATCCAACGTTCATTTTTGAATCTTTCGCTTTTTCCTTCCGAAATTCTGGACCTCATAAATTTTGCCTCTTTCAGGTTCACACATAGCACCTGCATTGCTCTCTATTTGTGGCGTCTTCTCACAAACACTTCGCGTGCTTCCCCGAGCTCTAGCTAATTCTCGGGTCCTTGGCTTTTTTCAGTGAGTCTCTCTTAATCTGTTGAGTTGAAGTCATCATCGTACGAAGTTTAATCGGTGGGTTATTTTGAGCTCGTGAAGAGAAAACAAGATGATGGGTGCTTTATCTGTTGTGGGGGGTTCATCTGTGATGGACTCGCAGACTTCGCCATGTTTGTGTGTGGACGCTTTGCCTACGACGAGTGTGAATCTCAAGAGTGGAGATGTTATTTTGTGGAGGAATCCAGTGGGGAAGAAGCAGGTAGTGAAAAGTGGGGCCGTGGATTTGAGAAGCTCCTTCATTGATCCAGGGCGAGAGTGGCGGCTCTGTGTCACTAGAAGTTCTAAGAAGCAGCGCAAGGATCGAAAATTGGCCATTTTCAGTGAGCTCGGTGGGCAATATGAGGACACTTTTGGTGATGTTAAGGCGGTAATAAGCTTGGTTCTTGTTGATAACGATAACTCTGAATTATGGACCTTTCATTAAGAAAATCTGATAGAAATTTACGCTTTTAATCTTTATTATGGTCAATTAATTTTCCCTTCAGCATTTTGTTGTGTTATATACATCGCTTGGATTTCTTGGTGAATTCTTTGGGCTTCATCATGGTCTCTGCTTATAACTTGTTCAAATAGGTATTAGGATAACCGGAGCCTTTTTGACGTTGCTTCTTCGATGACAAAAGCCAGTTATTTGGCAATAATTTGGCCCTCAAAGTTTTCAAAAGATTTGCTAGCTTCGAGAACACACTAGTTGCCATCTGTTCCAAGCAAAGAGATGTTCTTGAAAGTTGAAAACAGTGTCAGGATATTTGGTGCACAAGACCCAACATGCATTAAAAAAAAGAAGTAATAAACGTGGCAGTTTCTGGTGTTTCTTTTTAGTCAGTTTACATTCCATAAACTTTAACCTTTGCAGGGTTTATCATAACATTTTCTCAAAATGTTACAATAAAGTGTCCTGATATATGCTTCCCAGGTATTCTCAGACAAAACTGAGGGCACTCGTTGCAAGTAGAGTGAATTTTTCATGAATATATGCTATTAAGACATAATAGAAGGAGAGAGAAAAGGATTTCGGAGAAATCAGGGTCTTTCCATGATGCCCTGTGTCTCTCACGAACTGTCGAATTTGGGCCGCATAATGCTTATGATGCTACTATGCTCATAGGGTAATTGGAAAAAACTTAAAGTAGCACAGCTTAAATAAGAGAAGACAGAATGCAAGTCACAAGGGATAAAATTGCAATCTACCCATTATCCAACTGATGTCATTTTTGGATACAGCAAATACTCAACTATTTCACTTACAAGGCTGTGAGGACTGTTCTACAGCAGCTGTATGAGATGAATCCACCTAAATACAGGTGGTTCTACAAGTAAGTACAATCTTTATATGCAGCTAGATTGCCTCCGTGAAAACCTTCATGACCGTGTATTATCTTTTCGGACAAAGCCAAGATTTAATTATAGGGGAGCGGAAATTAAAGGCATCAACAAATTTGTGTAAATTCCGGAGGAGCCGACAATGTATAACATCTGTATAATATTTTTTTTTTTTTTAAAAAAAAACACTTGAGGTCATCCCCCCGCCCCCCAAACAAAAGAAAAAACTTCCCTTTCCCTCTGCCCCTGTTTTGTTAGTTTGAAAACTGTGTTTGCTGACAGTCAGTGGTTGCTTACACGACCTGACCAAGAGGGATTAGTATATTATTTAATAGACTTAAAATCAAGAACTGGTTAACTAGGCAGGTGTCCCATGATAAGATTCTTAATCTCCTTCATGGTCGAGTCAATCTGTCTACAGATCAGCTTAGGTCAAGCACCTCTGTGGAAAGCGTCCTAAGTTTTGCAATTTAATTGCAAATTAGTTATTTAGCTAAATGTTAGTTATTTTTTTCATGTTGATTGCAAATTAGTTATTTAGCTAAATGTTCGTTATTTTTTTCATGTTGGCAGTTTTGTTGTATCAAACAAGCCGAAAGATGGGAAACTTTTTCTCCGAACCCTCGGGAAGGTAAAATCTTTAGCATCCAGTTAATTATTTCATTGTGGAGAATTTCCAGAAAATTGTTATTTTATGACTTTTTCTTTGAAGTTTTAGCACATTTTATATTTCTCGAACTATTCTATTTACTTTCACTCTAATTTTCGTACATTCACAATCAAAATAGACCATTCTGGAAAATTCTTCATGTTGGGCATTTAGTGTCAGCTTCACAACTCTTTTAAGTTGAAGAACCTACTTATGAATACTGCTTAGAAATTCTTTCACTCTATTCCTCCTCTCCTTTCAACATTACATCTTCATCTGATAGCATTATTCTTCATACCGAAGCTGTCTTCGATAATTCTTCTTAATCTTCTTTTAAAGCAACTGAGTCCTACTTGAGCCGACCTTATTGCGCACTCTGCTGCAGAATTGACCTCTACAAATATTTTATTCTAAACACATGCGCATAAGGTAGAACCGTGGAAGTATAAAAGATACCCTGCTTTCCTTTTTTTCTAAGGTGCCAAAAGCTGAACTGTCATCCATTAAAAATGAATTCATCCTTGTGCAATGAGTCTTTTTTTGATGGAACGTCCGGGACAGAAATGAGAGTAATATATCTCCCAGTAAACTGTACCATGGTTGATTGGTTGTACTAACACATCTCTTATATCATCCATTAAATGCCTTGAAACTATTCTAGTTGTTGCTCATACATTCAACCTTCATTAAAGGATTTGGACCCTGCACACTACTTTTATGCCTATCTTATCTTCATCATTTGGGTTATGCTTGGTTGTTTCTGTTCATGTAAATATAGAGAGTTAAAAAAGGTTATTTACTTAACAATTATGTTTCATCATGTTATATCGGCCACCCTTATTTGATAGGAGCATCAGGAACTTGCTGAGAGAGTGATGGTAACGCGGCTTCATCTTTATGGTAAATGGGTCAAGGTAATGGAATTACAAAAGATGATTGATTTCCAAGACATTTAATAGTAAAGCTTTTAGGAATGAAATGGTAATGTAAGTAAATTTATTAGTTTTAACATTTCTCCATTCATCATCATGCAGAAATGTAATCACGCTGAGATATACCAAGAAATCTCTGATGAGAACTTGGCGTTGATGAGGGAAAGGCTCATGGAGACTGTAATATGGCCCTCGGATGACACAAACACAGAAAAAATTGGCTGATAATAAGTCAGGACTTCTCATCTTACCTTTTGTTTTGCTTCCTTTCTATGTTTTAGCCTCTTCTAAGCTTAGGTTTTGCTTCCTTTCAATTGTGAGCTTTGCGTTCTGTAAATTGTGTATATATGTATAACTTCATCTATGATGATCCATGATTTAGGCAGTTTGATCCGAAGGATTTATAAGTGGGCTATATGTTCCGGGTAAGCGTGAAGAGTGCTTCCCGCTTTTAAACGAACCTCTCGATAAGCCCTTATTCTATTGCATAAGAGGTTCTCGGCCTAAAAAATGTGAGAATGATGTTGAGACTTAATTTACAGTGCACCAATGCACTTTTATCTTAATAGATTGTGCCCACAAACTAGATGGAAAAACCAGCGGAAGCGTAAAAAAGGAGAGGGAAAGAAAAATAATAATGGAAGGAATTAATTCTAAAACCATAGATTAACAGGAAGAAATTTTCTCAGAATTCTTTTTTTTTTCCCTTTTCTTCTCAAAACTTCATTTCCACTGTTAGATCAAATAATAAATAGTTTAGATTCTGTATTTTGTGAAACTATTATTATAATATTACATAAATAAGAACGAAAAGGTGGACATCCCGTTTTTAAAATATTAAATCTAAATTATCTATTTCTTAATTCAACGGTAAAGGAAGAAAAGAGAAAAAGGAATTTATCAACAGATATACTCACAACAAGGACGAATAACTGATTCTCAAAGATCAACAGATGCAGTTAAAGTTAGTAGGTTTAATAAAATATGTTAAGAACAACACATTTCTTTGTAAAAATATTCTCATGTATAATTGGCGGGTGGCTTTTAAGGATTGATTTCATTAATAAACACTCTTTTTAAACGAGGGTACAAAAGAAAACTTCTTGTTTATCATAAATAAGACCAAGAAAACTAAAAAAAAAATCTTTTTCTAAGGACCAGAAGGAGTTTATGTCAAGGGTAATAGTAACAGAAGTATTTCCCCCTCTCAGAATGACATGCGAAGGGTAGCTGTTTGTTCTCTATTCAGTGTAATTATGTCTATCATTAGACTTAAAGCATCATGGTTATGAAGGAAAAACATTAAGAGGTTTTCGGCCTAATAGCTAGAAAGATTATCCGCAAGGAACAATTGTGTGAACCAATCAAATAACTATTCATGCATTCTATTTAGCGGAGTTTATCTTTCACATGCCAGTTTACTTTGTTCTTTCACTTCATTGCCCACCTGGCAGCAGATATACATCTACTACACGCACGTACTTTGTGGCATGAATTAATAAATTTTGACCGTGAAAACTTCAAACCATACCACAAACTCACTTGAAGTTGCATTCTTTGAATGTACCAAATTTCTCCTTCAGCTGGGCTTTCTTAGAAATTGCTCCAATCTTCCAAAACCATGAGGGGAATTAAGAAAGAGTCGTTTTGTTATACCTAACCCATAAGGTGATCTTATCTCACAATGTATAGTCATGCTAATTAGGTTTTTGATATAATCTTGTCTTAGTTGTGAACACGATTATTTCTTAATTATGAAGAGATTTAAAAACTTGGCCTGATGTAGAAACGTAAATTATGTTAACAGTTAAAACTAAGATGCTTTATTATGTAAATGTTAACGCTCAGGATTTACGTTATAAAGTTGTAAATAAAATATAGGGACGCACAGTCACATGTATTCCAGCCTTGTTCAAAACTTGAGAAAAACCTTGATAGAATTGCTACAATATCAAGTTAGTTAAAATTATGGAGCGCTCTATCATATTAGACCATGAACGATTTCAGGTGCCAAACTTTTCACTGAATAACATTGTCATTGTAGTTCTGACTTTTACTGGAACTAGAGCTAAATTGATGGCAGTAAACTTGAGTCACACCTATATCGGTATTAAGAAATTTTCAAGGATTAAATTCATAGAGAAGGTATCTTTCAAAGACTACTAAATAGTTTCATTAAATCTTCTAAACAGGCGGATTGCTTCAGTTTCTACCAAAAAATCAGGACAAGTATGGGGGAAGCACTGCAAATTATGAAAATGGTGGATTGAAATAAAATACGCAGGAAGAGCCTGACTAACAATCAAAATAAAATCGAAAGCTTCTAGCAAAGCCAGAACGTAGGATATATCAAAATGCCCGCTAAAGCTACCAGAAGAAAACCCCAACATTTCCTTCCGGCTTTGGTATAATTTGAATTTCAAAAGAGGACCGCCTAAGGGCAAAGACTTTATCTAAAGCCTCTTGCCAACTACATTTGACTGAAAACCCGACATACATTGAGTTCATGACTCATTTTAGATGGCATTTTTCAATGATATTTAATTATTTATGAGCAATCACAACTTCGTAAATAAGCTGCAAGAAGCATCCTTGAAGCATATAGAGTGGCAAAAAGTAGTTGAGACATGTATGAGCGGAGATCGAGAAATTCATGAACCAGAAAAGGAACTGGGGCAAGAATGAATCTCAGAAAGATAGAAGCACCCTCAATTGCTATCCCTTGACATTGCTTAATCAGAATTCCACTATTTATCAGAGAGACAGAAACTAAGTTTTCCATATACCACTAATATGGTACAACACTAAAGCCAGTAACCCTATCTTGATCATCTGACTCAAAAGAAGTAATGCCAAATGCACTGAATAATGAAATGAGATATTGAGGGTAACCTGATCAGGAGTGCTTACAAAATTGAAAAGCTCTCGCACTGCTCTGACTGGCTAAAAATAGTACATAAAGTGATCACCTGCAACAGGAAACATAGAAAGCACACAGCAATTTGACTCATTAAACGGTAGCAAGATATAATAAACAAAACAGAACATACAATTGAAATGTTAGGCATCATCCCAGCATACAAAGCTATTAATCCAAGACAAAACGAATACTTGAAACTGAACAAATAAGCAAATGATCTCAATCAGATTTTCAAAAGGATTTCACCAGCTCATCATTTTCAATTTGCTGGTTTCTCAGTATTGAACTACAAACAACCTAACACCAGAGTTTGTTCTATATATTTACCATTGAAAGACAGAAGTTTCATAACCCATGTATAAATCCTCATGAAAGGAGACTAACCAGAAACGAACTTCTATGATAGCATGTAAATAATTCATTAAAGGACAATAAAAACATACCACATTGTAAGCTGAAGCACGGAGGCCGAATACCTTACATAGGTGAGAATACAAGGGGGGAAAAAATAAAAAAAGTTGCTGTCACTTTTTCTCTTCTTCGCATGCATATCCGGGCTTAGAAAGAAGGACACTTGAATAAATTCAGCTTTCACCAATAGGAATCTGGTCAAGTGCCATTCTTGCTCGAAGCTGCATCAGAAGAATAAAATGGGTAAAACCATTTAAAAAAATAGTATCAGACAAAGTCATTTTGTGATGAAATTTAAAAGACCTTCACATCCATGCATGGATCATTGACCATCTTCTTTATTCGAGAAACTATGCCAAAATTACGCAGTTTTACAACCCGGCCAAATGCACCAGGACTTGTTGGATTGGTGAGATTTACTATGACCCAAACAGCTGCCGTGGATAACCGACTGTCATTACTCTGCAAACACTGGTTGAAGAATGAGTCAGATCCATCCTCTGCCTCAGGAAATAGTTGGTGCATAACAGCTTCCTTGTGAAATTCATTTCCACTGGCAATATTGCAGAGTACATATATCCCCTACACGGAAAATAAAACCAGGGACATAATTATTAGATTGATGAAGAAAATAATAAATACCTACTCTTTTCCTTACACTTTGATTGTATCTTTTGCTGTCTACATACCAAGACTCCAACAAAATAAGGTGTCCACATCCTTCCCCCCCGGGGGGGGGGGGGATTTTGGCTGCCTTCTATCTATTCCTTCCAGCTTTCCTAGAGTATTCTTATTAGGCAGCCTAAGATAATGGAGGGCTTTGATGATGTTGAGTTTGTATTTTATGCATGTCACCATATGTATAACATGATTTCGTTTTCAAAAACACTGCTTTAAAATAGAGTAAAATATAATGACTTCCCTTAAGTTTGCTTAAATTATGGAGGCCATTCCTCTATTTTCAAAATCTATAGTTTACTCCAGTTTTAATACTGTTAAGAATACTCTGTCAAAGATGATGGCCAAATGTTAGAATTTTTTCCCACAAGTTAAACTATTTCATACTAAGATTAGTAAGCATCATATTTTAGCATTTTAATACTGACATTCAACAGAAAAAAGAAAGCATGCCAAAGTATGTCGATAATTTTCTGCTCGCAAGGCCCGAAGAAACACAGAATAACAAGGGAAGGAAAAAATCTCAATATCAACAAAATGCAGCAGTAATATCTTAAAAAACTTTTAAAGTTTGATGCCAGATGATGGTAGTCTCCAAGATTCAGCATACCAACCAAATTAAAGTTAGCAATCAGTTCAGAGGCACATACGGTACAAGTTATTAGAACATTTCTACAGTTTACCTAGTAAGGTATTAACAATTAAGAATGGCTCACAGAATTCATATCAGAAGTAACAAGGTACAGCTCCCTGATAGCAGCAGAGCATGACAATCTACATAATCAATTATCAACCTATGAAACAAAAATTGGATTCAAAAGTTATTCCTAACCTGTATCCTGATTTCAGCTTTTGAAGATTCTCGAAGTCGCCTTACAACAGCATCAAATATGATACCATCTTCAGCAAAAGCATATTCAACAAAGTCTATGAGCCCATCAACGAAATTGCGAACAAGGGCTAGAGTTTGTTCTTGAACAGAAGACTCAGGATCTGCAGAGTGCACACAGTCAAGGACAAACTTCCTCGTGGCCAGTGATAAAAAGGACATATTTATTGGTAGATACCAATTAACACCCCCCCCCCAAAAAAAAAAAAACAACTGAACTTTCAATGGGAATCTTACCATGGATAAGGTTAGCAATTGAAGATGCTGTCAACTCCATAAAGACTGCTTCTTTACATGTCTTCTCCGCATGAAATACCATGTTCCTCAATGCCCATACAGCATTCAACCTTAACGATGAATCCATAGATTTTGTCGATTGGACAAGCCCTTTAATGCCTCCACATTGTATGAATACTGACTTGCGAGGGGTAATGCCAGCCACTATGTTGCTGAGGGCACCAAGGGCTGCAACCTGGAAAACAACATAGCGAAAGGTGTGTTCAACTAGATCTCAATA